TAATAATAATCCACTGAGTCAACACAAACCTATTGGAAAAAACTTCCAGAAAGTAATAAGACTAAAATAAGTGTATTCAATAATTACTGCATTGAAGTTAGATATACTATGTTTTTTAGCTTCGATGCGAAGCTGAGAAGGTATTAATTTTACTATGATGTGTTTTTTTTTTTATTTTAGCTTCGATGCGAAGCTGAGAAGGTATTAATTTTACTATGATGTGTTTTTTTTTTTTTTTTTTTTTTAGCTTCGATGCGAAGCTGAGAAGGTATTAATTTTACTATGATGTGTTTTTTTTTTTATTTTAGCTTCGATGCGAAGCTGAGAAGGTATTAATTTTACTATGNTTATTTAAATATGTTTGTTTCTTTTAAGTCGAGAAAAATAACTTTGAAAATTTTTTTTTTTTAAATAGCCAATTTTTCAACCGCCGGAAGCAACGTACGGTTGCCGAGTTGGTAAAATTTATGTTTTACACGCTTGGGGTACGAGGTTCCAACCCGCGTATGGCAATGAATTTTTTGCATTTTTTCTTAATTCTTTTTAAGTTAGTATAAATTTTAACTCGTTTGATTTTTATCACATTTAGATTCAATAACTTCAATAAAGATCAAGGATCCCATCACTTTAGTCGCCCCTTGCAAGAAGAAATTTCTTATTCGTATTAAAATTATTTTACTATATTTTAAGTTTTCGCTTCGATGCAAAGCCGAGAAGATATTTTTTTGTGACTATCATTTATTTTCTCTGCTCTAACTTGACCTACTTTTTTCAACAATACGTCAAATTACTACAATTCGTATCTAGTTGAAGATATTACTCTCAAAAATTGAAAAAAAAATTCTAATTTATCAATTAAACAGTTAGTTATTACATCGTCTCCATAAAGACAATTAAAATCATTAATTTCTAATGTTTTCAAAATATTTATTAACGAATGAAGTTTGATATGATAGGTTTCAACTACAAAATTAAATCATTTTACTTTGTAATTTAATAATTTTTTTACTCTATTTGTGTGTGCTACTACTAGACTATAATATTACAATTTTTTTTTGTAACATGTTGCTATATAAATCATTTCTAAAAAAAATGATTGTTTTTTCTCCTGAATTAACAATTGATTTTTACAAATATAATCAAATTTTATAATACACTCAATTGAGTAAATCTTTTTAACAACTTTGTTTTGATTGGTACATTTAGTTAAAGTAAATCATTAAAATTAATTAAGTTCTCAATATTTCAATTATAGAATCTTTTCAACAAACAACAAAAGTTCCTAGGAAATTATTACTATTACTTCTATTTAAGTTATCTATTACCATAAAAATGCAAAAAAATATTGAGCTTTTCTGATAAATTTACAATAAATAGTAATTATAAAACTTTCTGACTGCATATTGATCTTAACGATACAATTTTTTTAATTGTCATAAAATTTTCTATTTAATTATGTCAATGTCAAACTTACCAATTGAGCTAAAAGTTATGGTAAAATAAATTTTTTTTTTTTATTATAAACATTTACAACAATCAACTTTAAACGATTAACAAAATAGGTTAAATATGTCATTTTCCTTATTTTTAACTTATTAATAATCAAATTAATATTAAATATTATATCAAATCAGTATTAATTTAAAACAATTTTTTTTGTTCTTAATTATTTTTTTTTATATGTAAAAACTATTTTTTAATAATATTAAAACTTAGAAGTTATAGAAAAAGTCTAATTGCACATTTTAAAACATCGCGAAAAGTTGATTTAGAATAGTATATTTTTGTTTCTGATGGAAGTTCCTTGTAGTCCAGTGTATAAAACTTATAACTTTGTTAATTGTTATAACTTTATCAAAAATGACCAAATCAGTATATTTTTTTTTATTTAGATGCATGTCTTTATCTATCATTTGGTTTTTTTTATAAATCTAACCCTTTACCTGCCCACAAGAGGGATTCAAAATATTAACTTTTTTTTTTTTAGTTAAAGTAAATCATTAAAATTAATTCAGTTCTGGATATTTCAATAGTAGAATCTTTTTAAATATCAAAAATTACTTAGAAATGATTACTATGATTTCTATTTAAGTGTTCTATTACGATAAAAATGCAAAAAATAATGAGTTTTTCTGATAAATTTACAATAAATAATAATTATAAAACTTTCTGACTGCATATTAATCTTAAAAATAACATTGTTTTAATTCTCATAAAATTTTCTATTTAATGATTCATTCTAGTCAACGAAGGAGTAATTTTGCAGAATAGCAGAAAAAATTCCCAACAAACTTTTTTTTTTTTTGTTTTAATTAGGCAATTGGTGGATTATTCCAAAAGCAACATCAACTCTTATTTCTTTAATTATATCATGATTAGTAGTTCTTTGATTTTAAAATATAATATATGAATATATACTAATTATAATTATTAAATTTAGTATGAAATTGATATTTAATATTGTAATTTAAACGGAGAAATTATAAAAATAATAAAGAAGTTATATTTTGCTTTACTTTTACGTGTATAAAAATTTAAAGGGCTTGATACAATAATTTTCAATAAAAACTGTTTGTTACTATAAAAAAATGCACTGGACTACAAGGAACTTTCATCAGAAGCAAAAATATACTTTTCTAAATCAAATTTTCGCGTTGTTTTCAAATCTGCAAGTAGACTATTTCTATCACTTCTAATTTTTTATATTATTACTAATTATATATATAAAATAATAATTAAAAGAAAAAAAAATTTGTTTTCAAATTATTACTGATTTGATTTTTAATATGTTAAAAATAATCAGTCCAAATTTTCAATTTTAACCTATTTTTTTGGTTCTTTAAAGTTGATGAAAAATTTTTGATAAAGATTTATGAAAGTTTATAGTAAAATAAATTGAATATATTACCATAACTTTTAGCTCAATTACAAGTTTAAAATTGACATCTAGGCCTGTCAACAAAGGAAAAATTGCGGAAAAAATTTTGTTTTTTTAAAAGTTGAATTAAAATATGTATAATGACATACTAATAGTCCTCAAGATTGGAATTGAGCTTTTTTTTTAAATCCTCGCAAAAGTTCAAAAATATGAGCTTTCTTAATTTTCTCAAAAAAAAATATTTAACTTACAAAAAAAAGTTTCGCACAAAAGTTGTTTAAAAGACAATTATAAATAAAAATATAATCTTATATTTTTTCATTTAAACAAATATTTTTCGAGTTACATTACATTTAATATGAGTAATAAAATTTATATTCCATTTTTTTCATTTTACGGTTACTTTTTATCATGTTATACTTACATTAGACACAATGTTATAAATGCATATGTGTGTATGTGTGAGTTTATTTATTTATTGTATCATTAAAGTGTAGTGTATATTGAGATACAACCGATAGAGTAGGTAATTGATTTGACGCTATATTATTTAAACCCAACTAAACGCTAAATTGTACATTCCGAAATAACAATCATATTATGTCAATTGCCACCGGAATATCTGGTAATATTTTTCTTTTTCTTTGCCTTAATCCCAACTACTTGGGGTCGGCCACCCTTATCCTAAGCTTCCACTTGACACGATCTCCCACATCTTCTACGCTCACATCAGCTGTCCTCAAATCGCATTCAATAGCATCCCTCCATCTCTTTTTTGGTCTTCCTCTATCTCTTCTTCCTTCAACATTCATTTCTATAACTGTTCTTACAGCTTTCGATTCTTCTTTCCTCATACCATGACTAAACAATCTAAGTCTATTTTCTGTCATCTTATCCACGATTGACGCAACACCTATACTTCCTCTTATATGCTCGTTCCTTATCCTATCTTCTCTAGTCACTCCACTCATCCAACTAAGCATTCTCATCTCTGCTACACTTATTCTCTGCTCTACTTTCTTATCAACCGCCCAACACTATGAACCATACATCATAGCTGGCCTCACAATTTCATACTAAATTTAAAAACTATAATTAGTATTTATTCATATATTATATTTTAAAATCAAAGAACTACTAATCAGGATATAATTAAAGAAATAAGAGTTCATGTTGCTTTTAAAATATTTCACCAATTTCTCTAAAGGAAACACTATCTACAGATTTGCATCGAAGCGTTTCTTATGATAGTGATTTTAATCACTGTTAGATATCATCTATACTTATCTCATCTATGCCACGTCTATACTGTGCCTCGACCCCACTGTGCTACCGTTTTTTTTTATAATTAGATATCATAATGCAGCACAGGAAAAAATCCAGTCATCCCCAAGAATGATGAGGCACACATGGAAAAAATTTCTTTTTTAACCTTGAGGTCCTATTGCACTACATCCAAAATTATTGGATGGACCTCAAGGGTTCTCAATTTATGGGTTCAGCATCCGAACAAATAATAAGATATTATTTTAACTCTTCCCGAAGACACTTATCATAGAACACCCAATTTTATGTTTATATTAGTCATTATTTTTTAATAATACACACTTAGGAATTAAACACTAATAAAATTGCACATTACAATTTTTACAGCACATACTTGTTATAGAAAAATTAGTATTCAAATGGATCTCTTAGATATTAAAAAATAAGTTACGGTTAGATATAATTTTGTGGATCAACTGAAAATACAGTTAACAAACAGTTTTTTGATTTGGTAAAAATATTTTGTAATTATTGGATAATTAAGGAATAAAATTCCCAAAGATAAAAATATATTCTAGCAATAGAGAAAACTTTTTCAAAAATGTACATTTATATTAAAAACTATTAATTTTATGTTACTTAATGAAAGACTATTATCATTCGAGTATTAATAACATTTGTCAAATGTGAGAAATTGTATCAGAAAATAATAAGCAATTGGTATATTATTGTATACAAATGCTAATTTAATAGAACATTTTAATTTAAATTTTACAGTATTATTAATAATAATATAATTAATTTAATAATGTAGTGTTTCTGTAGCCACGTGACCCTGACGTTCGTGGCACTATCAGTTCGTGGCAAAGGTATTTTCCCGATAAAAACATCGTTACGAAAAGTATATAGTAAGAGCGCAAATTAGATAAAATTTAATCTGTGGATTAATCACAACCCGCACTTGATATTTTTATCATTAATTAAGATAACTGAATATAATCGATCAATTGTGAGCTTAGGTTATTAGTTATTAATAAAATAAACTTTGTTTTTATACTTCACTTGTTTACGAAAGTTAATAACGTATGAGAATTATAGAAGACATGCATCAGTGTATACAATAACACAGTCATCCAGCTTAAGTGCAAAAACAGTCAGATATTAAAATAATTTACTATGGTGCGGTATAAAAACAGGTATTAATATTACATATTTATTTTTTGAGGTTTTTTTTGTAAAAAGTATGATATTGCTTTAAGGATATAAGTCCTCATTTTGTCTAAAAATAATTAAGTTTATAATATTAAAATTAATATAATAAAATTAATTATTTATTTTTTATAATTTAATAATATTAGTATTATAATGAATTAAATTTCTTATAGCTTTTACTTTCATAAGGAATGTGAGTGCAATTAGGATTTCAATCTAGTGGAAGGGAATGTATATAAAATTTTTTTTTTAACTTTACCATAATTTTTAAAAAAGTTATGTACAAATTTTTATTCTGTATTGTATTAGGTAAATTCATTGTTAACTTAAATTTATTGTAAAATTAATTTGTAATATCATTTTTTTAAATATTTTTAATATTATTATTTATTGTAGTTTATTAAAATTTAAATTGACTATGCAATACAGGTTTTGAACTGTGTAGAGTTGTTTTGTTTATCTTGACCACTTTGGAGTCAATAGTTATTAACTAAAAGTTTAATTTTAATTAAACTTTTAATTTTCAGTATTTTCATTTGGTATAATCTTAAAATTAATAGGTCAAAAATTAAAATTAATTAAAAACAACAAAAATTTAATAAAATATAATTTTATGTTTAATTTATGTGTAATTGGGTAAAAATACTATAGATCTAAGATGCTGTCAGGAAAATTTCATTGTATTCTGAGTATTCTGTATAAAGCTATACCCTTTGTCAATATTTTTCTTATGCTGAATTACAGAGAAATTAAAATCGTTCAGCATGAGTCTAATTCAGATCTACGTAGAATTTTTCTACGCGGGAGAATAATATCAATAAAAAACTTAATGTAATTTTTATCTAAAACATAGGTTTAACACAGTTCATAAAAGGAAAGACTAAATCTTTTTTCAGTTGAATTGATTTTTGTTTTTTTAATTTATAGGTATTTAGTTGTTCAATTAAATATATTGTCCAATGATAATGACAATTTCAAAATTTCTAATAGAGATTTACAATCAGGTGTCCTAGATGTTATAAAAGTATTATATGGAGACTTCGGAGCAGGTGCAATTCGGACATGTTTTAAAGGTAGCTGTTTAATTTACTAATATTATAATTTTAACTTCATAATTTGTAGTTTAATAACTAAAATTATTCAGATTGGACAGTTATTAGTCCCATTTTTAATTAAATATATATAGTATATATATTTTTTTTAAATATAACTCACATTACATAAGCTTTAGTTTAATATTTTATAAAAAGGATTAGAATTTTTATAACATTGTCATAGAAGAAAAAACTTTTTGTCATAATCTATAGCTAAATAATACTTCATGTATTATTTTACTTATGCTATTAATGAGGGTTTCAAAAAAATATGTTTAAAGAAAATTATATTCAGCAATATTATCTATAATAATTTCATGTTGATTCAAATATTTTAGTTTCATAAAACTAAATAGTCAATTCTGATGTTTAAAAAAATCAGAATTAGCCATCTTCAACACAGATCATTTGATGTTTTGATTGCTAGTATTATTCCGGTAGAAAATGAGGGTTAATGAGACAGAAACAATAAAATAAATTATCATAATAAAATTATAGTTTCTAATAGAAGTTAAAATTTTATCTTAATTTATGGGTTCGTAACCAAAATTTCATTTGAGGAAGTCATAAACAATGTTTTTTTTTTTCAATTTTTCAATACTATAAACCTAACTTAATATCTAAAATGTACATTTAAAATTTTGTGAGGAGTCCATTAACTCTTTTTAGATACATTTCATGTTGTTAGTAGTATACAGAAATAAGTCTATACTCCCTTACACTTCTGTAAAATATGAAAGAGGATGAGTTCTACCCCATCTAGCAGTTAATAAGTTTAACAACCTTTTAAATAGTTGTAAAGTAACAAATTTTAACAAATAAATATTTTAACTCATGGTTACAATTTCAATTTTCAAAATGTTTTAAAAACATAAATTTTAGATTAGAAAAATATATTGATTAATAATAAAATTATTATTATTATTTTTAACTTGTTTTAATAATTTTAAAATATTGAATCAAGATTTGTCTTATATAAATTATTTTTATAACACACATGTATATTAAAAAAATTTCAGTACATTATTGTAATCCTACAACAAAAATCATCATATTTAAGACAAGACATGGTCCACACATATACTTATCTTCAGCAATACCATTTATAAATAAACTTCAAAATACAAGAATTAAACTTTCAACAATTTATTTAGGAGCATCTGTTTTCCATTGTTACAAATTTATTCAAGTAATTTATGACATTAAAATTATATTTATGTAAGTAATGAAACAATGAGTTTTCTGCCAAAAATAAATACATTATGTATTAGTTCTGTGGATAAAGCATTGCTTTGTTCTATAGTTAAATAAGAAAATTAATTTTAAATATGAATTATTGATAACTACTTCTTCTGGACGGCTTTATCCATATTTAATGGTACTAATATTCATGATCTGTTCCCTTACTTACTGAACACTCTGTATGTGTATATTTATATGAACAGATTGATTCATTTATGATAAGGCACTCGATTTCTCGGAAAATTATTGAAAGTTATACATTTGTGTAAAGAAAAATATTGTTTGATACAATATTTTTATCTCTTCAAGGATAAAAAAACCTTAACAATAGTTTTGTTAAATGAATACTACTATTTTTACTTTGATAGTAAAAAATAAAAAATATCTTGATGATAGAAAAAAAAAAATTTATTAACAATTTTGTTCTTATAATTCTTTTTATCCAATCAACTGCTTCTTCGGTGTTAATATTTTTTCTCAAAATGAATACTGATTGTAACCAATATACTAAAATACTGATTATTTTGATAAACCGACTGGCTTTGATATCATGTTATACTAGTAATTAACAGTATTTCAATATATCAGTTGGGCTTGGGCAATGTGCCAATGCAAAATCTACATGCAAACTATAGTATCTAATGTTGTAATTTTTGATTGACTAAATATTTGATTTTTTTTCTATTGTTAAAAAAAAAATGTATTAATAATAATAAATTTAACAATAGTTTAATGTCTTATAGTTATATATTATAGTATATATTAATATAAAAAAAAATAGAATTCCACTTTATGTCAAGGGTGAATTGGCTATAAGGGCATGGAGGCTAACATAAAAAAAAATCCTGATCATTATTTTTTAATTCATTTACTGTATAATTAAAGAGCAGTTTACTAAGGGTGAACTACATAATCGTCAACTATTTAGTATTTGACCAATATTTTGTAGGTAATTTATTTACTTCCAAAATCTATTATATTTGCTATTTAGTTTCACATATAAATACATAAAATTTTAATATTTAATCAACTTATATTAAATTATACTTATATAAAAATTATTGATTTTTGATAATATTATAATTTATAAAAAATACTAATAAATAAATGTATCTGAATAATTATTTCTATACTGAATAATTAATCAGTAGTTAATTAATATAGGAGTATGTAACCAAAAAATAATGATTAAAAAAAAAATTGTTCAACCTGACAAAATTGTTTATTTGTCATTAATGTTGTGTAGTGGACCTAGGTCTCGTCTCCAGTAATAATAAAGTTTAAGATTATAACTTTTGTTTTCAAACTGTTATTCTTCGGTTACGTAGAACGCTGTTCGTCTTAGACATCTTTCTTTGAACTCTATAACATTAGTACAAATGGTGTACGCTCATGCACTTCTCTCCATAGACTTCAAACAGCTGAGAATGAATATCATAGTACAGTGTTTTTTGCACATAAAAATCACATAGCGTAAATCATATCTAGTGGTTAAAGCAAGTAAGAAGCTCCATCTTCATCAATAGCTTCTAAGCTAAAAATGAGAGAAAGAAAATTCTCTATAATTTAATTTTTTTTTATTTTTCAATACAAATGTTGAATAAATTAATAAACATAAAATATAATTTACGATGAGTCACTTCAAATCAGTATATTTTTTTATATTATATTTATATAATCGAAAATATCATGAATAACTAAATGAACCATGTTCAGAAAACAGAGGTATATGAAAGAAACAAATTATTTGAAAAATAAATCAAATATTAAAATAAAATTTTACATACTATTGAATTATCTAGAAAAAAAGTTAATTTTAAACTACGTATAGAAAGAAATGTTATAGAGGATTATAATTCTTAATAAAATATCAGTAATTAGTAATATTAATGGGAAAATTTGAGAATTTTTCAAATTATAGTAATGATAATTTGATCTTTTGGCGTATGAATGACTAATATTCATGAAACTTATGCTAAATTAAGCAATTTTTTTAGATAAAACATTAGACTAAATTTAACCACATGTATCATTTTTTTAAATATTTGTTTAGCAGCAAAATATGTAAAAAAAAATCCACCAATATAATTAATATTACAATGTGATACAATATCCATACTAACAATTCAAAAAGTAAAATTGTTATCTTTTTNAATTAATATTACAATGCGATACAATATCCATACTAACAATTCAAAAAGTAAAATTGTTATCTTTTTAGTTTTTCTTAAGAACTAATAAAAAATTAAATATTATAACTTATATTTCATAAATTCATTTTATGTATTTTAATAATTGTATGTAAAATTTATATTTCAGAATTATCAAAAAAATCTCGTTAGACAAGCATCCGATGAAATTAGTAAATCGACTGTTGATAAAATGTTGTGTCTCACCGGTGTTTTAAAATTTAATCGAACGCAATTAGTAACATAATTAATTTAAAAAAATTAAAATTGTATTACTTTTATTTAAAATTAAATTTTTTGAAAGTAAAAAAAAATTTTTTTAATTAGAAATCCTACCAATGTATAATAAAAAATGATGTTAACTATTTTTTATTCTATAAAAAGTAAAAAATAGTTTGATTAAATTATTATTATCCCTGGACTTTCATGACCAAGAATATTTTAGTTTTTGTCTTATCTTTCATACAGATTAAGTATGAGATTCTAAGAACAAATATGTTTATCTAGATAATTATAAATATTTTATGTTAACTTAAAATTATTCTTTTATCCAATGATCCAATGGTTGCTTAATGTGTTTTTTGTATTTTGACCAAAATTAACCCAAAAAATACCCTCTGTTATTCAATTTTTGGTTAAATATTATGATTAGTATATCAAAATAGTTAAGTTTTTACTGTAGAATACAAATTTTTTTTTTTCAATTATTAAGTAAAAAATTGATAGCGTGGATATCATAATTAGCGTCATTATATCATATATTTATAGTAAGTTTTAAGTAAACTAAAATTTTTTATTTATATAATTAGGTTGATATGTATGTATATTATAAGTAGACAAAAATGTTTTCACTTATCTTAAAAACTTATACCTTATTTTATAGATAAAGCATAAGCTGAAATATATGATATTCCTAAAAATATTAATAAATGATAGTTGATTATCAAGTACATTTCAAATATTTCATTTATTTTAAATATAAAGAAATACAACTTATTAATTTTCGATTAATCATAGATTGAGTAAATGACATTATAATAATGTCTAAAAAACAAGATGTTAATTCTAACGTACATTATAATTCAATTAACATTTTTTAGAAATTTGTTTTTTTATTATTGACACTTATTGTGAAATATTTAATCACAGATTGCAATCATTTAAAATTAATTAAATATTATTTATCCAAGTATTATGAAAATCATAAACATGTAAATAAATTTTACTCATATGTCTATGGTTAGAAGTAGATGAACGTTAGAAAAACCACAGAACAATAAGGTTGTAGAATAGATTATATCCGACAGTAATTAATATCACTATCATAATAAATGCTCGATGCAAATCTGTTAAATTTCATCATATTCTTCTTTTTCCTCGACTTAATCCCAACTACTTGTGGTCGGCCATCCTTATCCTAAACTTCCACTTAACACGATCACCCACATCATCTACGCTCACATCAGCCATCCTCATATCACATTATGAATTACACCCCTCCATCTCTTTTTTGGTCTTCTTCTATCTCTACTTTCTTCAACATTCATTTCTAGAATTGTTCTTACAGCTTCCGATTCTTCTTTCCTCATAACATAATCAAACCATCTAAGTCTATTTTCTCTCATCTTATCTACGATTGACGCTACACCTATACTCCCTCTTATATGTTCGTTCCTTATCCTAACTTCTCTAGTCACTCTACTCATTCATCTAAGCATCCTCATCTCTGCTACACTCATTCTCTGCTCTACTATCTTATCAACCAGCCAACATTCTGAACCATACATCATTGCTTGTCTCACTACAGTCTCGTAAAATCTATTAAATTTCATAATTTATATATTTGTAATTTTACAAATTGTAATATTTAAAATTTCACTCTAATGTTATATGGTTGTTATGTAGTTGAGTAATTTTCTTAAATAGATCATTTTATATTTTATAAGCTAATTAAATATGTATAATGCCGTTTACAAAAATAATGTTGATACTATAATAAATGTTACCAACTCGACCACACCGTTCCTTCCCGAGTAGCAATTCGAGTTCATACTGGGTTCATTTAATATAGTAACAACGGTGCTGAACTCAGTTCAAAACCCGTTCACAGCACGGTTCAAAATGAGATTTGAATACGGATTTTAACATGGGGTGAACCGAGTTCTACAAAAGTTCAGAAAGAGTTCAAAGACCGTCCCTCGGTTCAACTATAAAACCCTCGATAACAGTTCAATAATCGTTCATTAGTTCAATAAAAGCAAGCTCTACGACGATTCATTAAGAGTTCATTAGTTCATTAGCAGTTACGGTATTTTAAATTAAATGTATAGGTTTTGTAAATATTCAAACATTTTATAATTTTAAAATAATAAATTGTATTACTATATACACAATGTATAAAATAAAATAAAATATATTATATGTAAATATAAAATAAAATAGTTAACCTTCGAATTTTAGGTTTATTTTATATTAAATGATAATTAGTAAACAATCCATTCATACAATTTGATAATAATTAATATAAATTAATAACAATAGTTAATTTTAAATAAAAATAATGATGTTAGCAATGTCAGCAATTTATTTACTGTAACTCAGTTTGATTTATTGTTGTACAATATATACCAAAAAAATCCAATAAAAATATTTTATCATAATAAATTAATCACTAAGGTGTTATAGAGTTTAGACAAGAAATATATAGTTAATATTAGTACAGTATTAGTAAATTGTGAAATTGCAATAGTTGATATAACAAAAAATATTACTGTGGTTATAAAAACAATTAGTAATTTTAATTTAATTTCCATGAAATTGAATAAAAGAAAATCATTGCCATAAGTACAACAAAAGAAGTAAAACATATAAGTAGCATTCAATAAGATGGCATAAGATTACCATGTTTTTTTTTACTGTTTTTATTTTGTTTCCTAAATGCTATATTTTGTTTTCACTATTAATAAAAAAACTGTGAAATAATCTAAGTGAATAAATTTTAAAAATCATTTACAAAAAAATGAAATGTTGATTGAATAATAAAAAAAAAAAAGGATTTTATTGCTGTGATGCTTTATTACCAGAATGCTTTAAAATATTAGCTATTATTTTGTTAAATGTTCTTTCGTGTTCAGGTATTATGATTTAGCCAGACATAGCATCTAAAAAATAAAAAATAAACAAACATTAGTACATATAATAACTAGTAAATATATTTGTATAGAACATACAAGGATTCAAAAATTAAGGATAAAGGATTCCCATTATTCGTAACAATTGGCTTGTTTTTCTTTATTTATTGAACATGTAGTATATCTATACAACAGATGGACGGAGCACAGGCAAAACATGTTGTATAGAAGGGACTATTTCATAGAAGAGTGTGGGGAACCCCAAAGTTTATTAAAATCATAAGACGGCATTTTTAAAATAAATTGTAGAATTTTGTATCCATGAAAGTACTTTGTCGGCAATATTCACTTCACACCCCCATAAAATTTACTACTAGGATCACTCCTGTATACAGGTTGTAGCATCATCTTCATTTCTTTTTATACAATGATTTTTTAACTGCTATTTAGAAAAGAATAAAAATACTAATTATACTATGATATAACCAGTATTTTTTCTCTGTAATAAAAAGAAGTAAGTCTGTTTGGGATTTACACCAACAATCTTTATATTGTTTGAAACCTTATGGCTTCTTCAATGACAGCATTTTAACCAACATAGCGTGATCTGTACACACGACACCCCAAAATCATTCAAGTTTTTCTATGAAAAATGTAGTATAAATTAAAAAGTTATTTTTTCTTTGTAGTTTCAAAATTAGTCTTCCAGACTTAGTTTGATTTACTAAGGCGCTACCAATATATTAACATATTCAATTTGCATTTTTATTACAGTTTAATGTTCATACCACGAATTACCTAAAAAATGTGAAGCTTATTAAAAGCTTGTTTGGTGTTGTCACAAAAACTAAAATTTGCGGCCATTTCTCTTGTCATACAAAAATCAAATGCTGTTCTCGTATATGCACTGAAACTTTTAATGGTACCCACTTTAAGCAACAAAACATTTTTCTGGAAAGAAAAAAAAACAATAACTCATCAATTATAATAAATTAAATTATATATATATATATATATTCATAAAAATAATAATATTATTATTATTATTTTTATGAATATACAATGTTACAATTATAGATCAATCATTATTAAAATAGTTGGTATCTTACCAGTATTAATATAGGCTCTAGTAATTGTATCCCAAATAATATAAATAAGAAGGGAAGATAAGAATACTTCAATAGAACAACCTTTCAAGTTAAATAAAACATGCTCCCAAAGAATAATTTTATTTAAAATAATATACCTATAAAAAATTAATAAATTATATAAAAATAATTAACAACTATGCTTTGGGTATAAAAAATTTTATAATTTACTATTATATAATAGTAAATATATTATATTTATTATTTTTTATTATTTTAAATAAAAATATTTTAATACAATAGAGTATAAAGTTTTAAAGTTATTTCATAAATGTCAATAGATATTTATTCAGATTTCTGGAGAAGAAAGAATATAGGGAGTTCAAATATTTTTGTGTAAATGATAAATTATTATTAGTTATTGCACTTCCGGTTAATATGAACTCAATGTTCAAAAATGTTTATTGAGTTATATCAATTTACAATTAAGCGCCAACACATAAAGTTCAGTTAATAAACTATACAGAAATTAACCTTTTAGTGTTACAGTATTCAAATGTTTGATCAAGTACATGGCTATGCTTTGTAAAATATTTATTATACTTATAAAAAAGACATATTTTTTAAATATTGGAAATTAAAAAAGCATGATATCCATCAACATTTATTTATTGTAACTATTTGATATAGTGAAGTAAAATTAACATGATATTTCATAAGAAGTATTTTATTTTGGTTATTATTTAAGTTATAAAATAATTGTGTTTTGGATATTGGGTATTTTAGACAACTTAGGTATATAGATTTCTGTTTTGGGAAACTACTGTGAATAGTTTTATTTATATCTTAAAATTATTTAGGCTACATGTAAGCCTGTTCCTCATAGATTAAAATGTGCCTTTTATAGGTTGATTTGTATAAAAATCTTGTTGATTTAATGGTATAAAGGTTACAAATAATTACAAAAATGAGTCTGATGAAAATCTTGTTTAATGTAAAACCCTGTTAATTGTTAAACGGTGAAAACCTTTATACTTTTCATTTATTTAAAATTTGAATTATTGAAATATAATTTTCATTCAAATAGATGCAATTCTTTTTAACTTAAAATGTTTGATAAATTTAAATTATTGAGTAGTACAATAGAGGGATTTTCATTAAAAATCAACAGTTTTTTAAGAGATGGTATTTCAATGTATACAATTTTGAGAAATATATAAAATGCACCATTTTAAATATTAAAATACAGAAGTAATTTGTATCACATGTATCAATAAATAAGAAGATCTAAAATAAGCTAGAGCTGACCCCAAATAGTTGGGATAAAGGCTTAGGATATGATGATAACGACAATGATATATGATTAAAAACATTTTAAGCTCATGGAAAATCTTGAGGTATCTGTTAATAACTTCATAACAACATAACTAACGATAGTACTTTATTAAAATAAATAATTTTGCATTATAATTATAATTAATCATAATACAAAATGTGAAAATTTAATATATAATTTACCACTTGTATCTATTACAATTACAATAAATGTAGTTACTAAAATGTATGATTATCTTTTAAAAAAATAATATATGCTATTATTAAAATTAATTAAAATAACTATTTATTATTTTAGTCCTAAATTTAAATTAAATGTAATTAATATACTTACATTTTATTGAACTTTTCAGTTAAATATATATGTGAGAGTGAACAGGGATAAAGAGCAGTCTTGACAAGTTATCTAGTCGCTGTGAAAATGGCGAATGTCTCAAAACATAATTTGTAAAGAGAGTAAAACGATCGTTGATAATTTGAAAAAATGTCACAGTAAAAATTAAATAACAAATAAAAATCGCGCGAACTAAAGCTGTTGGTCAACGGTTACTGACACGTCTGGTTATTCCGCCAAAAGTTCGTATGTTAAATTTGCGCTATAGTCTCAATGAAAATAATTTATAACTATTATTTTAAAGTTTTTTTTATTAATGTACTAATCAAGGGATAATATGTTTAATAACAATATAAGTGAATAAAACTATTTGAATGGCTATAACCGTTACAACGATTCTTTCATTATAATGAAAGAACTTTGATGAATCCGTACAATTATTTTGAACATTGAACGGTCCCAGCACTTACTAAAAATTGTTCGGTTATTTATTGAACGCTGAACTTTCCTGGAACTTATAAAAAATTACACGGTTCATTATTGAACATAGAACTCTCCCAGCACTCGTGGGTCGCTTGAACCGACCGTGAACCAAAATAATGCTACTCGGGTTATTACAGATAAATGGAAATACATATATAACTGACAAAAACAAAAATAATTTTAAGATTAATCAAGTAGTAGCTAGCGTAAAAAGAATCACCTTGTATAAGTTAATAACGGTATGTTTATTATATGCTTATTTATTTAATTAAAAATAACATTATTTTTTTGTTTTAACGGCCGATTTCACAAAATGAGACAAATGTTTGTTTTAATATTATAATGTACATAAAAGCTTTAATTTGATATAAGTTAGAAGAAAATCAATGTATTTTTAGCTTCGCATCTAAATTAAAACATTTTTAGTTTTGGTAGAAAATTAATTCATATCATCAAAACACATCATAGTGAAAAGTTAATTTTCGCTGTGTTTTTTTTTCTATGACTGTTACTCTAAGTTTTAACAATCTAACCATTTAATGGAAATTTTATAAATATTTGTACTGAAAAAAAAAAATAAATAAAATTATAGAGAATTTTCTTTCTCTCATTTTTAGCTTAGAAGTCGTTGAAAATGGAGCTTCTTACTCGCTTTAACCACTAGATGTGAATTACGCTATGTGATTTTTATGTGCAAAATACACTGTACTATGATATTCATTCTCAGCTGTTTGAAGTCTATGGAGAGAAGTGCATGAGCGTACACCATTTGTACTAATGTTATAGAGTTCAAAGAAAGATGTCTAAGACGAACAGCGTTCTACGTAACCGAAGAATAACAGTTTGAAAACAAAAGTTATAATCTTAAACTTTATTATTACTGGAGACGAGACCTAGGTCCACTACACAACATTAATGACAAATAAACAATTTTGTCAGGTTGAACAATTTTTTTTTTAATCATTATTTTTTGGTTACATATATATATATATATTAAAAAATGTCCGATTAAAACAATTAAAATTTGTCAAATGGGAATTGTGACAACTCTCACGTCCATCTCTCGGGACTGGTTCTACCTTAAACCTACTCTGCAGGATCCCAACTATAATTTACTTTTTAAAAATTTTAAAATACAAATTTAGTCACTAGTTAATTTTGACCTACAAAAAAATCAAAATTATTTGAAATTATAACTCTTTACCAAAAAAATTCTTGTTGCATCAATAGTATAGTACTATGATATCAAGAACTGAACTTTAGATTTAGGTCTTGGTTGAAGAAGGGGTTTTGGCCTATACCCACCTAAATATTTCTTTGCGCATAAGAAATCAAATTAAAGCAATGCATGAGTAAACATGTATTATTTTACAATAGTTTTATAATTTTCAAAAGTTTTAGTTTTAATATTAATACAGTAACAAACAAGTTACTTTACTACCTAAGTTAAAAGAAATACTGTTTGCATTAAATTGTTATTCTATATATGTTAAATGCTGTGAAGATTAAGTATAAGATTTTTTAAAGCTATTTAAATAATTATGTTTATGTTTTATGGAATAAAAATATCAATATTGATAATATGTAGATTATATTACCAAGCAACATTATTTTTACTGACCATATAAATAATTTGTTAATTTTTATTGAATATTACTAATGGATATTAAATAATTATTGTAATAAGAATAATGGATTTACAAGTCTTAAGTTTAGTAATTTTTATTAAATTTAAATCAAATATCTTAGTGAAACAAACAAAATAAAAAAATATGATAAAGGAAGATAATAGATTAGGTAATATAAAAAGAAGTAATTATTTACATAGGAACTTAAAACTACCTTTTAAAACAAATAAAAGAAAAAAATCACACTATTCAAACATATTGTAACAAAATCATACAATGTTGTTTACTTAAGAGATCAAGTGGGCTTAATTTGCTCTAATTGATTATAAAATAATTTTTTTTTTACTCTCCCAGTGATGCTTTAGGCGTAAACATTATTTGCATTAACTGTTTAAAATCAGCTTTACAAAATTAGATAATTTAGCTATAAAATTAAAAAATATTACTTAATGAAAAATTTTCATAGTTAATAAAAATAAAATTAAGTATAATTAATACTTAATTTGAAAATATTTCTTTGTTCATGCTAAATAAAATCAACATCAATGGGAAAGTCTTACAAATAATATTTTAAGAGATGTACTAAAATAAATAATAATATTAACTGTCAGAAATACATTGCAAATAATTCAATAAGAAAAAAAAAAATCGAAGTAGTACATCAAATATTAAAAATATACACAATTCATTAATGGTAATTATTAATACATAAATAACACAATAACATTTTGTTTATAAATATGTCTTCAATTGAATAAAAAAAACTTGACTTTTTTCATAATTATCTCAGAATACTGTAGAGAAATACAAGGCATACAAAAAAAAAATATATATATATATACATACATATATATATATATATATATATACATATATACTTTATATACCTAAAAGATACAAAAATATATAAAATAACACAATCATACTGAATCTAATCATTATATACTTGTAAAATAATAAATAATCATTAGAAAAAAAAATAGCTACCATTTTAAACATTTATACTTAAGTCAATAATTATTCGTCATAAGCCATTTCAGCTTGAGCTTTAACTTTCCTCAATAATGGTGGGAATTCATCTAATGTATACCTGTATTTGAACACATGCATCTGAGCTGGACAACTACACAGCTGTTTAAAATGCCTTAAACAAGCTAGTTTATTTGGGTCACATGAACAAGAAACTGCCGAGATATAGAGAGTAGTGTTGCATACTATACACTGTCTATGGTCATCTACTTGATGTTCAAATTCAACAAAGTCTGCTTCAGTTACACCCCAATCCAATAATGCTTTGCGGTGTACTCTTTCAAATTTAACCATTTTTGCTAAATCATCATACACAAGTTCTGCTGCTTTAGGAGCTAATTTTTCACATGAATTAACCATATTGCAAATAAGTTCATCATGTGAAAAAACACAAATTCTTTTAAGAGATGAATAGTGATTAACACATTCTCGGCCCATAGAAATCCAATCAGCTGGAGCAAAATTTACAGCTTCAGCAAAATTATATCCTTGATTGAATCCAGTATGATATGATCTAGGGAAGGTAACTACAAACTCACCAGCATGTTGATCTGTTCGATATATAGGGACATTTTCTTTCATTAATATATTGGGATTAAGAATGGTTACCAATTGGTGTAAAAGATCTGGTTGAGAATGAAACAGTTCAGGAGTTGTTTCTTTCATAACTTCTTCAAATGCTTCAGCTGCATCTCCTGGGACACCATACCATGTTTTAGGTTCACCCCAATGTAAATAGTTAATAGAATAACTCCAATGATCTTCATTATGCCAGCAAAATGTAGAAAAACACATACCAACATACATCCAAGGAACTTTCATTCCAGATATATCTGCATTGATGTGACTTAGAACAGAATCTTTTAATATTGGAATATTATTTAAATTCCAATGATCTTCAATATAAGATTTATAGAATGTGTTGTCTTCATTACCATTTAATGCAAGACAAGTAGGAAATCCAGATCCATGATCCATTGTGTGTAAATCTGCACCGTATTCAGCTATAACTGTAGAATCAATAGATGACACAATTTTCCAGTATTCTTGCTCAACTTTTTCTGTTGGTACAAGATGTACAGGCATGTTAAAATATTTTGATTTAAACTGATCTGCCATTTCACCAAATTGTTGAAGGGTATACTCACGTTGAGCTTGTTCAAATCCAAAAGCATCACTAGGCTTAATTACTTCATTAGCTACACATTTAGGGCACCTCCATTCACCCTTGGGTATACTAGTTAATGGAGGCATTAAACATTGCATATGAAAACTTAAATCACATCCATCACAAATTAAAATAGTTTCTTCAGATTTACCACTTCCACATTTTTGACAATAATATTTTGCTAATTCATCTACTACTACTTTACGATTTTTTTTAGATTTTTTGGATTCTTTGGACTTTAAATGTCCAATTCTACATTTTGAACTAAATCCAGCCATTTTAGGTCCAGCTCCAAAAAATTGCAATTTTCTTAACTCCTTGTTTTCCATTAAATAAAATGGATCTTTTATGTAATCATCTGAATCTTTATCGTCATCAAGATTTAATCTTGCTCGTTTATTTGGAGAACTAGAAGTCGAAGAACTTTCTTCTTTAATATTTTCAATATCACATTCTCTTTTTACTGGTTTATAATAAAGTTCATCTTTAATAGTAGCATTAAAAAGTGCAAACGGGTTGAGCCATCTTTCATAATGACCCTTTAAGACAGTACCAGATGGTTTTTCATATATATAGCCCATACGATTTGCAACATTGCTCCATTTTTTTTCAGCACAGACTTTAGTATAACCACCTTCAAACTCCACAATTTTGTATAAGGAATATAAGTCTACAGCCCTTTGTTCTAAAACTGGTATTTTCATTCGAACACCTTGTAAATGCCAATATTTTGCAATTTTTTCCAAAAAATTTAACTTTACACGAGTGCTAGCATCCAATTCATTAAGTTTTTGAATTCTAGGAGTGAATTTAAAATTATCAACATCTACACAAAATGGTGGATGCCAATCAGGAGGTGGTCGTATTTTACATATTCCATGTTCTTGAGCTACACTTCTAATTTTTGCAATGTATTTTAAAGGATCCTTGAACTCTTCAGTAGTTGGTTCAAATACAGGAGCTTCAGGAGGAACTTTAAAAACAAATTTTCCTTTTTCCATTAAGCTGGCTGGATCAATAAATTTTCCCTCTGGACATTCTTTTTGTTTTGGCTCGTCGATTTCTAATTTACATTTTATGTCATGTACATCTCTTTTTCCACTCATGTTGGGATTAATTCTTATTTTTACTTATTATTATAAGTATTACTTTTTTTGTCGTAATAATTCACCAAATTAAAATACCAGGCGATTTGCTTTATGTTAAAACAAATAAAAATTATGTCAAAATGAAAGTAATTAAACGCTAAAAATATAATTGTTTACGTATTTTATAAAACGATGGCCGTCCATCCCATATTTCGAAAATGTCACGTAGTCCACACACACACGCGCACACGTATTTACACTATACGCACACATACACACAAGTTCAGTGGTTAAGTGAAATGTGCCCGACGATCTTCGAAATGAATATTTTGAACTCAGATTACCTACAAAAATGCACCTTGCACGTACATATATATTCCGACGTCATTACCTGATTCATATCATGGACATCCAAACGCAAGCTCCAATAATTGTTCTAATAAAATTGATTGATCTCGAATAAATTATGAAATTTACCAGAGCGGCTTTTTGTCTATAAGTAGTAATTTCACCGTGGAAGATATGAACATGTATATAGTTATATATTACACAACACAATACATAAATAAAATTTACATCACACAAACGTAGATACTATGAACCTCACCACTACCAACTACACTAAATACAAGTGTACGCACTCGCAACATCTATACTCTCACACACCCTGAACTCTGAAGGATAGAAGTATGGAAGTTAAAAACTGTGGCTTGTGGGCTGTCATTGTTCTTTATGGTTCACTCTCTGAAACATATTTCAAGTTTTCAGTATAACAAAAATTTTTTTGTAATAATTATTAATGATAACTGTTTTTTGAGATTTCGATACTTTTATCCAATAATATTACAGTTTAACCATTAAATTTTTAATACCTTAATTAATATTTTTTAGAAAATAATTATTTGCTAATTTAGTGTAATCCTACTCACCAGTGTTCACTGTTTATCCTGTTATTATTGTATATCAACATTTTTAAATGGTTAGATACAAAATATTACAGTTTGTTACGTAGACATAGTTTACTACTACCGTATTGCTTAGTTGGACATTCAATTATGATTTAGTTTAAAGAGATTATAGTCAAACAAACTAATTTACATATTTATTTATATATATTTTAACAAGAAATAACAAATAAAACCAAACTATATCTATAGTATTTATTTATTACCACATTTCTCACCTAAAATTCCAATTCATAATTAATTTTTAACTAAAAAGTTGATTAAATACGATTTTGAAATGTTCATGTGTTTTTTTATTTAAATGCTAAAAAAAGTAGTGTACAAATTAAAAACTTAATTTGAAAAGTTGTATTTAACATAATATGTGAATTATTTAACACATACAAATCTCAAAAACTTGAGATGGAATGTGTGATGTAAATTGTAAAATTGTTGAAATTTACTATTATTCGCAAGTCTTTTTTAAATTTAAAATTTAACTAAGTTGTATTTTACAAGTTGGAATACATTCCTGAATAATCAATTGCAATATAAAACTAGTCTGTAATTTGATATGATCACGGGGGAAACAAATAAAAAATAAATTTTAATAAAAAAATGGCAATTCAGTAAAAATAACAAGTTATCTATTACTAAGGATAACAAATATTAAAAAAATTAATTGATCATACATCATTTTATTCCGTCAAATGAATTCTTGGAATTATCGTTCATTTGATTACAACCATGAAAAAGTTCAAAATTGTATATTATGAATTGTTTTTTTTTTAATTGTTTACGTATGATAAATTAAGTTAAAAAAATTCAATTAAGATAATATTGACTTTTATGACAATGATAAAATATATATTATATTATATACTTAAGCAATGGTAAATGGGTACATTATTTATTTTATAATTTATATAAAATTTATCCTCTCTATTAATTTATGCAAGGTAAATTTTAAATTCATGATTAAAAAATGTTGTTTAATGTGATAATAGCATTATATTATCTATATAACATTAGAACAGCTGTTTTATTTAAGCAGCTACTATATATAGTTCAACAATGTAATATTTACAACATGGGAAATGCATTTATTCAATGAAATTATAGGTTACTTAAGAGTAATTAAAAATAATATAGAATTTAACTTTATAGGAAATTTAAGTATTTTTGTAATAAAGTTATTAGCTTAGTTACAATCAAATAATTGTGGGAATACAAATATATCATATCAATTTTAAATATCTTCAAAATTATCAGTAGCCATCTTGAACAAAGCGTTTACATACAAACACAAACAGTGGTAGTGGTGAAATGAATTTGATAAAAAGTTAAATTTTTTATTCCGATTCTGTGACAAAACATTGTATTGTAAATTGTAAGTAGTTTAGGTAATATTACGTTAATATTTGTATATGAAATGTTTTCTTAGTTATGGCAGCAACTAGAAAACTCCAAGGTAATTATCTACAGTTTATTATATGTATAATTCAGTTTTTTCAGTAGTTAATGTTAATAAACAAAATTTATTATCGTGAACAATTATGTACTGTTTATGGTTAATTTTAATTTATTTTTATAAAATATATTATTTACATTATATTTTATGATCATGGTTGATTTAGCATATTTCTAAAATGTCTAAATTAGTTAAGTTTAGACATTTGCAGCTAAATATCTAAACTCTATAAAGTGTGTTATGTATTATTGTAAATTTCATTAAAATTTTAATTGTTAGGTGAAATTGATCGGTGTCTTAAAAAAGTTACTGAAGGTGTTGAAACTTTTGAAGATATTTGGCAAAAAGTTCATAATGCTACCAATAGTAATCAAAAGGAAAAATATGAAGCCGATCTCAAAAAGGAAATCAAGAAATTACAAAGATTACGTGATCAAATTAAAAGTTGGATTGCATCAGCAGAAATCAAAGATAAAACTGCTTTACTTGATTATCGAAAACTTATAGAAACTGTAAGTAAATAAAAAATTTAAAGTAAAAAAAAAATATTTTGGAAAAATATGAGTATGATTAATTATAGCAAATGGAAAGATTTAAAGTAGTTGAGCGAGAAACTAAGACTAAAGCTTATTCTAAAGAAGGGTTAGGAGCAGCACAAAAATTAGATCCTGCTCAAAAAGAAAGAGAAGAAATAAGTGCTTGGCTTACTCAATCAATAGAATCACTTAATATACAAGTAAAATATTCATTAGTATTACTAATCAAATTTTTAAACCAACCCTATCAAAATAGAATATCTTATAATTAATGTAAGAATTTTTTATAGTAAAATGATCAGAAATACTTTTAATTATATTGAATAAAATAAATGTTGAATTTGGGTTTTGAATAGTGGACTTTAATTACATATTTACTATTAATTAAGAAGTTATACTTAAAAAAAATTAAATTATCCAAAATATATTTATACAATTGATTATTTGTGGCTAATTAATAAAAAATAAATTAAATTAAACTCAGTTACAATTACATAGTCTCTATTTAGCACTGATAATAAAAACATTGTTTTCAAAATAATAGTAGTTTATTATAATTATTTTAATTTCTTTAAATGTATGTTACTTGGCAAAAAATAATAAACTAAATTAATTTTTCACTTATATTATTCATTATATCAGGTATTAAGTAAGAACAAATATCACTAGGTGTTATTTATATTGTGTAGTTTGTTAGTCGGATAATTTTCTGACACATAAACATAAATTTAATCTTATTAACTATAGAGAATGTATTAATTCAAAGTACTTTATATTTTAAATTTGTTATTTTACAAACACACTAGTGTGGTCCATATTTTTTACATTTAAAATTTTAATGTTCAACCCCTATAATTTGATCTAACACATTAAAAATTAAGTTATGCAAAATTTGGTCCCCATAAGCCAACATTAATACATGCCCCAAAAGGGTTGAAAATTCAATCATATGGGTAGTTTTTCACGTAATGTGCCCTATCTCCATAATTTTTATTTATACATAAAAATTTATATGAAAAAAATTAAAGATATAATTTTTTTATGTAAAAAAATTATCACAAAAAGTTTAAAAAAATTATTTTTACCAGTAAAATGAACTTATTTTGAAAATTTATATATATATGACTAACCGTTCTAGTTACAAAAAAAATTTTATGTTAATGTTAAATACAAATAATTTGCAAATCTTTTCAAAATATTTTTAGATAATTTTTCAATTATAATTTTGTATTCATATTTATTAAAAATTCCAAATCTGTTGAGGTAGAGGTTGAGGTTTAGGTGAGAGAGCAGTAATTAGTGCATTTAATCAAGCTTTGATACATCAATTAATTTCAACAATATAGATTCTTTAAATTAGGTCATACTCTTTTTGAATTAATTTGAATTCTTCATGAAAAATAAATATTTAAAAAATGTAAAGCACAAAGAGATTTTAGTCGAAAAATTACTTTAAAATGAAATAAACTTTTTTTAAACTAGTTAAGTTATAAAAAAAATGTCAACATTTTTTTTTTAACTAAAACAGTTTGCCTTATATTTTTAAATTCTCAAAACATGTTCATTTTACTGGTAAAAATAATTTGCTTTGACTTTTGGAGGGTAAATATTTGACTTATGACTTTTTGTGATACTTTTTTTTATATAAAATAGTTATATTTATAATTTCTTTCATATAAATTTTTATGTATAAATAAAAATTATGAAGTGAAAAACTACCCATATGATCGAATTTTCAACCCTTTTGGGGCATGTATTAATGACTTATGGGGACCAAATTTTGCATAATTTAATTTTTAATATATTAGATCAAATTTTAGGGGTTCAAATATCAAAATTTTAAACGTAAAAGAAATTTTATTTCATTGACTTAAACCAACTTAACTTAACCAACATTTTTTTTAAATTTTATTTAACTACTAAATTAAGTATGCCTCCCTAACTGCAAGTGATTGATCTATTTAATTTAGAATTAAATAGACAAAATATTTAGGTTGACTACAAAAAAACTTTTCTGACCAAATCTAGTACAGTAAAAAAAGTTATGACTTAAAGTTATTCTCTAATATTATCATTAATACATAATCATCAGGAAAAAATATGAATACATAATTAAAAGTTTTAAGAAGTACTAACTATTAAAAAAATGAGTATGAGATTGTCTTTCTAACAGTAATTCATTGAATTCAAATTTGAAGTTATGGGAAACTAGTGAAATTATGCCCAAAATGACAAATTTTTCCAATTCTTTATGATCAAATGGAAAACGGTTTTAAGCTAACATAATTTATATAAGAATAATATGTGTTACAGCTTTTAACAAAGAAGCTGAAAATAATATTTAATATTTCAAAGTAAAGGCATATTTTAAAAATAATTCATATCAAACAAGATTTGCTATAATATGGATTAACATATACTTATATATATTTGACAGGAGAATAAAGTTATCCTGATAACTTATTCAATAATTGTAAATGATTATAAACAAATTGTGTAACAAAACAAACCATTAATAGGAGTTAATATTAAATAAATATTTAATTGTCGAAATTATTAAAAATTATAATGATATTCCAAAGTTTACAACAAAATTGTAACTTAATAGTTTAGTTAATGGAACAATTGTTGGTAAGAAATCCAACTATACATTAATAAATAATTATAAATTTAACACTAGATACATGCTCAATAGATATTATTGATGTTTGCACTTAACTTAATCCAGTAGAAAACATATTGGAAATACATCAAACAACAGAAATTACTATTTCAGATATGTCTAAAGTATGTATAATTTTGAAAAAAAAATTATAATAAATATAGAAGAATTGGACAAACAAGAAATGAAATCAGAAAGAAAAAGAGAAAAACTCAACTTTTCTCCTAACATAAATTATTAAAAAAAAAAAATGCTTATGAATACAAAGAACAAAATTATTAATGATATAAAAACATATAATAACCATGAATTATAATTAGCTTACTATTCGGTTTTGTTACAAGTACATTTTGGTTACTATTAATGATTATGGATATATTTTGTATGTGTATTTTTTTTAGTAATAATACATTTAAAAATACATAAATCTATTCATTTTTGAGATATCTTTTTGAAGAATTTATATTATATGTTTTAATATTAACTTTTAAATTATTACTATTATATTGAATTTGTCATATAGACATCTTAATAGATCATATAATATTTATATGCATTATTTGATTAGCTATTTACTTCATTTTTAAATAACAATGTCTCAACGTAAAGCTGTTATTTTCAAATATTTTTGTTTTTTTATTTAAAAAAAATAACTGATCAATAAAATGTGTTAAATCATTATTTAAAGATGTAAGTAGTTTTATATTATTGAGGGAGGAGAGAAGAGAATTTTAGAAATGCCTAGAGATAATAATAAATTGACCCGCACTTCACTTCCATCCCTTATTTTAAGTGGTTATTGATTTCCAAAATACTGATTCAAAAGTATTCAATTATTTGACAACTCATCTATATTTAATTAACTATCTTATTTTTAATCTAGTTAACACATATATATTTCCATTTAAAAAATTTTATGTTGATTCTATTTTAACGAGGAAAGAGGGGATGGGACTAATATTAATTAATATTAATATTAATTGTGTTCAGTGAAAAATCCCAGTATATTTTAGCTTCCCTAGCATTTTGATAGACCCCTGACAATCTCAAAGTGATAATGATATTATAGTTTTGTTCAAAATTTGATGTAATGTTTCGTTAAATTTTTTTTTTTTTTTTTTACTAATCAACTTGTTTTTTTTTTTTTAGTAATTTTATGAAATAAAAAATAAATTTCTGCTATCACCAATGTTTAGAGCGAGTCCTTTGAAAAAAGTTCTGAAATCAACACTGTAATTACTTGAATTTTTTTTCATTTTAAAATCATTAAGATAAAAAATAATTATTTTTGTGATACAATATTTTTTTTTATTATGTTTAATTCTTTTCAAGAATATTAATTTTGGAATTCTTATTACAAAAATGTCTTCTAAAATGTACTGTACAAACTATGAATTTCCACTGTATTTAAATGAATTTAATTAAACTAATAATATTTAAAAATAATTGAAAGGTTATGATTTTAATCAAATAATATTTTATGAGTTAAAGTAATTATTTTAACAAATCCAAATAACAAAAATCAAGTAACAAACTAATGCTTTATTAAGGATTCAAATTTCATTAAAATAAGATAGAACCTTGAATACTTGTTTATTTTACAACTACACAACAGATAACTTTAATTTTTTCTAAATAAGTTTTTTATTGTAGATTGATCAGTATGAATGTGAAATGGAATCCTTATTAGTGGGTAAAAAGAAGCGATTAGACAAGGATAAACAGGAAAAACTAGATGATTTAAAAGCAAGAGTAGAACGACATAGATTCCACATACGAAAATTAGAGACTGTATTGCGAATGCTAGATAATATGTCTGTTGAAGTAAAGAAGGTATGCTAATTATTTATAGTTTTTTATTATTAAAATATTTTACATTTGAAATAATGTTATTATTTTATAGATTCGCACCATTAAGGATGATGTAGAATATTATATTGAAGCTTCTCATGAAGAAGATTTTATGCATAATGATGATTTATATGATGATGTGATTGGTTCAGCAGAACTTGAATTAGGCGTTTCTGCTAATAATTCTACTGAAGCTAACGGTACTTTATGTTTTATTTTTGTTATTCTATTAAAATTTAAAAGGTCTTATAATATTTTATAAGTTCCTAGCTTTTTTTTTTTTTTAATTAATTTTAGGTGTTTAAATTATAAACTAAACATATTTATAGTTAAGTAAATAAAATGTATTACAATTAAGGTACACCTACAAGTCAAACAACAAGTATTGCTGGTTCATGTCCAGCATCTCCTGCTCCAATGTCACATAATCATTCCATTGAAGAACCTTTATCTTCTATACAAACAGCAATAATAACAACTTCTACGCCCGTTTCAATAACTACTGTAACAACAACATGTGAAGTAGTTTCTACAATCTCTACTGTTTCTACAGTTGTAACTAGTATTGTCTCTTCTACTAATACTATTACTACACCAGCAGTTGTTGTTCCAGCAGCACCTATACCTGTGACAGCTCCAGCATCAGTTCGAAAGAAAAAAGAAGAATCAACAAAGGTTTGTTTTGAACATTAGCATTCTAATTTTTTGTTGATAATAAATTATACCTTAGAGTGCAGTAAAACCAACTCCTGTGAGGGCTAATTCTTCAAGTAATGCATCCAACACTAAAGGCCCTACAATAGCAGCTGTTGTTAAATCATCTGCTAGTAATAGTACTACTTCTACTCATACTGTATCTCAAACAATAATCACTCAATCAACTACAACTACTACTGGTAATTTTGCTACTGTAGCTGCTTCAAATCTTCATAATAAACATACACGTATGTTAAACTTTTTATCGTTAAGTATTATTTATTTGATGGACTTCATTAAAAAAAAGTGATTACACTGGACTACAAAACTTCGACTATGAAACTTTTTTAATTATCAAAGATGGCAATATATTCTTCTAAACCAATTCTTTGTTCTGATTTCAAATCTACAATTAGTTTTTGAGATAATTCCTAATTGGTATAAAACAAGTGATTACTCTTAAAAAAAAAATTTTTTTCAAAGTAATATTGATTTTGATTTTCAATATGTAAACAATAATTTGTACTAAATTTTGATCCATACTATCATATTTAACCTATTTTTTTAATCAACAGTTACATAAAAATAATCTAATTTTGTATACATTTTTCTATAATTTCAATAGAAATACTATAATTTTTATTGTAATTATTTGTTACAATACAAATACAAAAAAATAGTGATTCTAATGATATTTTAGTTTTTCTCATAAATTTACTATTAATAATATAACATATAATATATTCCTAACCGCATATCACTAAAAAATTTCACTTTTTAGATTCTCAAATAATGTCCTACTTATTAATGACAATTTCAAACTTTTAAATGAAGCTAAAAAAAATGTCAACTTTTTTTATAAACTTGTAAAAAAATGTTTATAAAAGGTTCCAAAAAAATAAATTAAACATAGCATTTTGGATTGAAATTTTGTATGGATTATTGTTTACAATAATGAATGTCAAGATTGATATTTATTAAAAACAATTTTTTTTTTTGTGTAATTAATTGTTTTATACTAATTTATTATCTAAAAAACTAAATGTGATAGAAAAAATCTACTTTTAGATTTTATATCAGTACAAAAAATTGGTTGAGAAAATTATTATTTATTCTCTGATAAAAATTTCTGTAGACTAGTGTTATAGGCAAAACAATAAATTTAATTTTTCCTATTACAAAGATATCCTTTCTTAAAAAACTACAGTGACATTGTTTTCTACATTTTACTATTTACACTAGTGTTATTATTTAATTTTAATAGTATTAATTATAATTAATATAATTATTAAATTAAGTTTTATATTTCATTAATTAAAAATTAAAAATTTTACTTAAAATATTAATAACACTTTTATGATCAATAATTAATTACTAATTTTTTTTTTAATAAAAATAGTTTAAATTATGAATTATATGTTTTATGTATCTTGAAAATATATCGAAATCACAACGTTTTTTCAGATGATATATATTTGAAAATTTATAATGACCATATATATATATATAAGTGTTAATTATTCAATATATAGATTTTTTTTTAAATAAAATTAGAATTATTATATTTATAGTGCATCAGTATTTTGAAAATGCAACAATTTATAATGAATTGCCAATATTTTTATCAGTAGCTCAAATAATATATTAAGGCAAAAATGTTACTCCCTAACATAAATCCAATGTTTGTTAAAACTGCATACACAGAAATATATTTCAAATATCTTAAAAGCAGTCGAACATATTGAAAAAAAATATTCTATAAACACATATAAACTACATATGTAAAATATATGTAGCACTTTGCTCACCGTGTTATGTTAAACAATAATAAATGACTTAACGTAAATAGTGCTAGAGGTATAATACAAGATTTATACATTAGTATAAATCGAGGGAAATCCTTTATATAATAATTGTATTGTAACTGTCACCATTTGTTTAAATTACCTTTTAATTTCAAATCCAATATTTAATATCAATTCTGATTTAATTAAATAATTTATTACGTCATTTTTTTTAGAAGCACAGCCTGTAGAGTCCAATTCTAATGTAACTTCAATAACAACATCCCCATCCTACCATGGAGTAAATGCTTCAACCGTGCAAGTTAGTTCAGTAACTACAGACAATATTGTTAATTGTGTTTCTACTACTCCTTCATCATTAAGTTCCACTACTTCACCTGTACAAATTGATCCTCAAGCATCTTTATCGTCACTTAAAACAATGGCTCAAAAAGCCATTGATCAAGCAGGAATTGATGTTTCACAATCGGTTAATAACACAAGAAGTAAGATAATTCTTATCTTTTAATATTATATTTGTACATCAGATATGTGTTATGCAAATTCAAATATCTTTTTTAGATACAATCTTAAATACTGTTCAAAATTCAACCAATCATCTAAATCTTCAACTTCAACAATCCCAGCCTCCTGTGACATTTGATGCTAATATTTCTCCATTATTAGGAGTTGCTCCATTGGGTCCTGTTCCACTCTCCAAAGATCATCAATTTCAGTTTACTATGCTAGAATCTGCATTTCTTCATTTACCTCATCCTTCAGATTCAGAAAGAATTAAATTATATTTACCACGTAATCCATGCCCAACACCCCATTATTATAATCAAGTAATAAGTTGTTTACTTAATTATTTTAAATGCAATTTATAAACAACTCAAATTTTTTTAGGGGCCACTTCCTCATTCTGACAGTTTAGAATTTTTCCAAAGGCTTTCAACTGAAACACTTTTTTTCATATTCTATTACATGGAAGGGTCTAAAGCACAGTATTTAGCAGCAAAAGCATTAAAAAAACAAAGCTGGAGGTTCCATACTAAATATATGATGTGGTTTCAGCGGCATGAAGAACCAAAGTTAATAAATGAAGAATATGAACAGGTTAGATAGCTAATAATATATATTCAATGTATATCTTATGAAATAAATATTAATAACAAGTGTAAAAAATAGCCATACATTTTGGTACAGTCTTGATCATTATAGTTTTAGCCAGATACAGATCTGATTCAAAATTGTAAACAGAATTTTAATTTTAGAAAAAAAAAACCCAGCATAGGGGTGTCGCGTTCAGTGGTGACGTGGCATAGTTGGATCAAGTATAATGATATCTAATAGTGATTGAAATCACTATCATAAAAAACGCTTCGATGCAAATCTTTTGATAGTGTTTAATTTTTATAAAATTGGTGGATTATTCCAAAAGCTACATGATTTGCTATTTCTTTATTTATATCATGATTAAGATAAAGTATGTCAAATGAAAAAGGGATATAAATATTATTCCTTATAAAAAGATTGTGTTGATCCATACACTTTTCAATAAGTTATAGCATTATAAAGTTAAAAATGTAAAAAATAAAATCAAGAATTTTCACACAAAAATAGCGCATTTGGTAGCCATTTTCACCGAGAAAAACAAAATAAAGTCCGAAATTTTTTTTTTCTACAATAAAGTACATTACATTAGCTTTATTTTAAGATATATATAAAAGTGTAAGAATTTCTAGAACACTTTTAAAAGTTAAGTTGAAAAAGTAAATTTTTTGTGAAAAAGTTGTCATTTTAAATCTCTCCTTGTGGGCAGGTAAAGGGTTAGATTTATAAAAAAAATATACCAAATAATAAGTAAAGACATCAAGTATCTATATAAAAAATAGTTATACTGATTTGTTCATTTTTGAAAAAATTATGGCAGTTTTAAGTAAAAAAAATTGAAAAAATTAGCGATTTTAAAATATGTAATTTTGATGGAGGTTTCCCCTATTTACGTGGAACAAGGGAAATTTTTTTCAATTTTTGAGGGTAATGTCTTTGACTAGATACGATTTGTAATCTTTTGACGTATCATTGAAAGAAATTAGTAGTTCGGTGAGAGCTGAGAAAAAGTGAAAAGCTAAATTTAGACCAAGAAAATTAGCCTAGTTTTTATAACCATTGATCTAAAATATCAAAAAAAAATATTTTTATGTTAATAGATGACCTACAAAGTTCTGACTAATGTATATACTTTTTTTGTTTGTCAAAACCTTGTGATGTATACTGTTTACAAAAATATCTAGCTTGTTTTGACAACTTTTAATTCAGATGCTTTTTGATGATTTTATTTAAAATTATCAAAAGTATAAAAAATGTTACTTTTCTAATTTAGAAAAAAATAAAAGTAAAATTTCTAAAATAGCTATTTTTGGAGTAAATTTTTAAAAATAATTTAGTAAAAAAGTATTTCATTAATGTATTATAGTTATATTTCTGAAATATTTTAAAGATTTTTATAATTTAAATTATTTCTATTTATTTTACGGTATCAAATGCTAATGTTATTTAACGCTAAATGTAAATAAAAAAGACAAAATTTGTTTATACTAAATATCAGATATATATATATATATATATATATATATATAATTCATTCTAAAATGAATATTGCTATTAGAATAGTGGCAATGTATAAACTATAAATGTAGCAAAATTAATTTAAGAAAAACTCCATTTCCAAAAGATTTCTAATTATTATATAAGAATTTTGCGGAAATACCAGGTTTCATTTATTTTTTATTGAAATTAATATTGAAGGAGAAACAGTGAAAAAGCTCACTTTTGGAAATGGAATTGTTTTAAACTAATTTTGCTACTTTAAACTTGTTTATACATTGCTACTATGCTTATAGCAACATTCATTTTTGAAACACCTTCTGTATATAGACTTCTTATTGTTATAATTTTTTTTTTAACCCAGCCTAGTTAATGTATAAATTTAAAAAATATTATATGTATTTACATATTAAAATATTTTTTTTAGGGAACTTACATTTATTTTGATTATGAGAAATGGGGTCAGAGAAAAAAAGAAGGATTCACATTTGAGTACAAATATCTCGAAGACAGAGAATTAAACTGAAGATTGTGAAATGCACATAGTCATCTTCTATAAAATTTAAGAATAGTCCAAATTTATTAATGGATTATTTTTTGTCCTCAAAAATTGTGATAACGTGAAAATATGAAGAAAACGATATCGGAATGTACAACTTTTTTATATAAATTAAAAACTGTAATAAGTCTTTGTTTTTATGTATAGTACATATTAACTAAGTGTTGTAGGTATTAATGAACTGCTTAAAAATTAATTTATAAGTTCTTAACCACAATATAGTAGAATCTACAATGTATAAAATAATAGATCCCACTTATTGTTTGTAATATTTTTGTTAGAATATACAATTTCTTTTAAATATGTAGATTTCAATATTTTTTTGTTAAAATACAACTGTATGAACATCCAAAATACATTAATAGATTAATTATTATTATTTAGAAACTTAGTTAAAATTCTCATAGTTTAATGTAAGTGTTTTTCTGTATTTGTACTCTTTTGTACCTCAGATTTTTGTCTTGTATGTTATTAAATCTGTGATTTCAAAAAGTCAAGTTCATATTTAGTTAGTGTAATTTAAAATTGAATGAATTACTTTAAATACCTTGGATTTCAATATTTAAATATTTATTATTTTAAAATTATTTTTTTCATAGTCTAACATTAATTTTCAGTGTTATGGACCGAATTTATTTTTTTTACTGCTGTAATTTGTAGCATCAAATTAAGATATTCAATTTTTTTATAATAGTAAAATTGAAGATTATTATTAATTTTTAAAAAAAATATTTTTTCAAGGTGTTTAGATTGTATTTCATATGATTTTTGAATGAACATATTTATTTCCTTATCGCAGACAGTGCTTAGATGTATGAAAATTTGAATTTTTTTATTAATTTTAAACCTGTATTAAAATAATATCACACTTAAAAAAATTTCATTCACTAATGATAATATTTAAAAAAATTGCACATAATTGAAATCCTTAACTAAAAAACAAATATAATTCTATCTTGAATCTGAGATTTTTTGTGTAATATATATATATATTTTTTTTTTGATTGAAGATACAAATTAATCATCATCCTCCTTTTCTTAAATAACTGATTTATTGGCAAAATGTATTTTTATGATGTAATAGTTCTCATTTATTATTTTAGTACAGGAATGTTATGTTTACCTTACAACATGTGATTTATCTTAAGGATAATATTAATGTTTTTTTTTTACCATTATAATTGTTGGCTGTTATTCTAAAACTATGATTGTGTTTAATGGAAAATAGATTAACATATTGATGTTCTGTTCCAACAGCATCATTTTAAGATCAATCAAATGATAAATGTACAAATATAAGCTATTAAATAAACAAATTTTTTTTAACATTTCTGGGAATGTCTACATGTATGAAGAATAAATTTTTATTTTAGTTATGACCTTAACATCAATTTCAAAAATCCAATTAAGAATAATAAGAATATTACAATGAAAAACTAGATTATGATACCTTGTAATAGTAATTCTGTAAAATTGATACATAATGGAACTAATAATAAAGTTATTTAAATCACTATCATAAAAAAACTTTAATGCAGATAGTGTTTTTAACAGTTTTTAAAATAAACTTAAATTATTCCAAAAGCAGTTTAACTTCTATTTCCTAAATTATATTCTGATTACAAGCTCCATTATTTATAAGTATAATACATGATTAAATATTTATGATAGTAATTAAATATAGTATGGAATTGATATACAATAATTTATTACAAATTGAAAATTATAAAGTAATTGTATATTTGTTACCTCCATAGCAACTTTTCTAACTAGTTGCAGTCAAGTTAGTTTTTAAAAAACCCAGAACAGTGGGGTCGCGGCGCAGTAGGCATAGTTAGGTCCAGTATAGATGATATCTAACAGTGATTAAAATCACCATCATAAAAACACTTCGATGCAAATCCTTAGATAGTGTTTAATTTTAAAAAATTGATGGATAATTCCAAAAGCTATATGATCTCCTATTTCCTTATTTATATTCTGATTGCAAGTTCTATGATTTATAAGTGTAATATATAAATATATATTTTATAATATATAAATGTATAAAGGGAAATGGTCCGATTTAAAAAAAAAGTATGTTACATAAAAAAAGAATATAAATAGTACTATTCTTAAAAAAATTATAATGATCTATAAATATTTAAGAGTGTTAAAGCATTATAAAGTTAAAAATTGTTTTACTAAAATCGTATTTTAGCAGCTTCGATGCGAAGCTAAAAAGATATTAATTTTACTATGGTATGTGTTTTTATTTGTGTCTGTTACCACTTTTCTTCAGCTCTCGCCGAATCGTTTTCTTTCAACGATACGTCAAAAAGTCACAAATCGTATCTAGTCAAAGATATTATTCTAAAACATTGAAAAAATTTCCCTTGTTCCACGTAAATAGGGGAAACCTCCAAAAAAATTACAAATTTTAAAATCGCTAATTTTTTTAATTTTTTTTACTTAAAACTTTTTTAAAAATAACCAATTCAATAAAAAATTTTTTTATAGATTTGTAGATGTCTTTGCCTATCATTTGGTATATTTTTTTTATAAATCTGACCCTTTACTTGCCCACAAGGATAGATTTAAAATGACAACATTTTCACAAAAAATTAACTTTTGAAAGTGTTTCGGAAAGTCTGACACTTTTATATTTATCATAAATTAAAGCTGATGTAATGTGCTCTTTATTATAGAAAAAAAAATTTCGGAAATATATTTTGTCTTCACGGTGAAAATGGCTACCAAATGCTATTTTTGTTTGAAAATTCTTGGTTTTATTTTTTACATTTTTAACTTTGTATTGCTATAACTTATTGCAAATATAATTTTTTTTTGAGAAATAATATTTATATCCCTCTTTCATTCGACATACTTTATCTTAATCAAGATATAAATAAGGAAATAGAAGATCATCCAGCTTTTGGAATAATCCACCAATTTTTTTAAAATTAATCACTATCTAAAGATTGCGAAGCTAACATATAATAAAGTTATTACCTTTTCAGTAACGCATCAAAGCTAAAAACTAGTTTAACTTAAAAATTTTAAATTAACTTAGAATAATCTATTTCAAAGTTTACTTTACTACAATAAACTTACATTTTTAAAATTTAACATAATCAAATATGTACTTCAAAAGGTAGATTTTACAAAATGACCTTCAAATATTCGGCCTAATATAATATGTAAAATTTGGGAAAATATATAGAAATTTTTTATGTGGTATTATATGAAAAAGGAAATGTATGAACTATATTTTCTAAAAATTGTAAAGGATATAGATGATATACCCTTTAAATTGTAAGTTTCCAAATATAGTACGATAACATCAAACATAATTATTATAAATTAAATATTTTTAAATTATTTAATAATTAGTATTTTTCAAAGCATTTTAAAATGTTATTAAGTCATTTCTTGTAATCAACATAATAATACATACCGATTGAATGAATTTAATAATTAATTTTATAACTAAAAAGATATTATCAAAAATTACGTAAAATAAAAACCTTAGTCAATACAAATTTCCTTAATATGTGAGGGTCAGAAGCATGTACCGCCGCTAGTATCATGTTTGTTAGTCCATCTGGACCAGGCGCTTTCCTTTTCACATATTAAGGAAGTTATGTAACAAATNCAATAAATTTTAGTCAATTTATATAATTTTTTATCATAATTTAAAATATTAAAAGCAAAAAAAAAAAATAGATAATTCATATGGGAATCCAAATTCTGGGTAGAGGCAGAGGGACTAGTCTCTTTTTTTAATTATAGTCGTCTACTAAAAAAAAACCAAAAAAGGTTTTTTAAATGATAAAAATTTCAAAAGTTTATTATGATATTTAAAAATTTTCAGGGTCTCTCTTTAACAATATTCTGGATCTATACCAGTGAGATATATATTCAAAATTAGTTAAAAGATAAAAAAAATAACCACTAAATAAAGACATCATTTGTATATATGTAAACATAGATAAAGTAAAAGAACTGAGGGGGTAAAATATAAAATCTTTAATTGGGGAACATTGAAATTTCTAGTAAGAACCTATAGAAGTCTTCCAAGTCTTTCTAATGACTGTCTATACATTTACAGTATATGAATATAAATCGCTAATGAATAAATAAATCAACAAATTATCAAAAAAAAAATATATATATTTAATTTAATTTTTATTTAAAAATCTATTCGTTTTGAATTGGGTAAAGTAACTAATACTTTAGTTGCTTTACTAGTTTTGCCGATTCCAAGCTTAGGTAATCCTCGATTAAGTCCTTCTAACAACATACATGCTTTACAAATTCTTTGACTAGATACAAAACCACACTTAGTACAAATTCCTTTTTCAGGCATTTTTACATTTTCTTTTATGCACATTGTTTCACCTAAATTATTAGACCAAGAAATTATAAGTAAAACTGTAAAAAATAAAAAGCTTAATAATATCAATAAGATGCATACATTTTCGATATTTTAATAGCAGTATTAATATTTATATCTTTTAAAGAAAGTTTATTCAAAATATCTTTATAAAGCGTTTATACTTCAAAATGAATTAATTAAACTTATAACTTATATAAATACCTGAATGTATGATATCAATAATTGACGATGGTTTCAATCTTTCTAAATCTTTTAGAAATGTTCTCGCATGACCTCTATAAGCATTTGGAGCATAAACACATTCTGTTGAAAAATAGTTAAGTTTCTTAAAATATGCATACATAACAATTTCTTTTTCATATGTGTACTTCAATGGTTTACAACGAGGAATAGCTCCTTCAGTAACCTGAATAAAAAGGAATACTAAATATATGAAAAATAAATTTTTTAATAAAAATTTTCTATAATATTCATTCAACTTCTTACTGTAATAATATTAACACATCTTTGAAGTCTAGCAACATCACCACGCAAAATATTCATTAAAACTGTCTCTGCAATATCATCAGCATTATGGCCAGTAGCAATACAGTTAACACTCAATAATATAGCTCCTCTATCTAAAGCTTGTCTTCTAAATACACCACAAAATGTGCAATTGTTTTTGCGTCCTACTTCTGCAACAATTTTGTCCATTGACCATCCATAAAGTTGTTCATATGATAAAATTTTTAAAGGCATTTCATATTCTTCCTTATTTTCATGTACTGTTTTTAAACTATCATCTCTATAACCTAAGTTTTAAAAATAATTATTAAAAAGTTTTGAAGTTATTTAAGGATTATAAATTACATAAAATGTCACAAAGATGAAGCATGTATTTTTTTAAATTTTTTGAGACAAATTAGAATTATACCCCAAACAAAACAGCCAATTTATTAGAAAATGACCTGCTTTTGGTTAATCAAGGTTTATTACTTCCATTTCAAGCCCCCTTTGCAATGGCATCTAACACAAATGAAACAGATCTTACACTTACATTACGGCTCTATATAACAACATTAAGTTTAATAATTAAATTAGTTTAATAATAATTTAAAATGATATATCTATTCATTTTTATTTAGTTATACAATTATCTTATAATAAAACTAAAAGAAGAGTTAGCATTTACAGTATATATAAGGCGAGCAGATTATAGGAAAATTAAAAAACAGTGAAGTGTAGTATTGTGGAATAATAAAAGTAACAGAAGAACTTACAGTATGTAGAGTGATTTTAAAAAATATATTAGAAAGCAGCTTGGGAGAATCAACATTGCCATGTAAGAGAGAGGAGAAAAAAATAAGATTAATCTCGTGTTTGTTATCAGCTAAAGAAGTAATCCAAGTTTTCGGAAGACTAGAAAATAATTGTGAAAAGATCAATAGGATATTAAACCTGTGAGAATTTAGATGCATAAGTTTTCTCTTTACCATTTGATAACAATCTTGGATCTCAGAGTATAGAGTTTAAAAGCTATATTGTTTATCAATCAGAATGTAGTTATGAAAAGAATGACATTTAAATTATTTAAAATGACATTTAAATCTAAATATTTTATGACAGGTAAAAATAATCTATTTTATATAGAGTGTAACTTTATTCACTAATAGTTATAAGTAAGTATACATATCATTATATAACAAAAATATTATTTCAATAGAAAGCAATAAGATTTACAAATGTAAAGGAACAAGTAACATAGTTAAATTCCTTAACAAGATAATTGATAACTTTGAAGGTCCATTATAATTACATGAACCAAAACTTGAATACTTTAATTAGAGATGGAACTACATTTTGCACAATGTCATAATTATAATGTTTTAAACGAACTTTTCATTAAAACATAATTAAAATACGAAAAATATGTAATTATAATAAATATATATGTTAATTATACTATTACAATTTAATAATGTTAAAAACGTTTTATGTAAAAATGCAGTAACATTTAAATGTTGAATAATATTAAATTCAATTTTAAGGTAATATTATAATCTTTTTAAACGCTAAGCAAATGAAAAATTATTGAAAATTATTAATATGACAATAATTGTTGATTTTATCGTAAAATCTTCTCATAAAAAAAACACTTAATTTTGAATAAGATAAATTTTTGTTTTACTAATAAAAATAGAGCATAGGTAAACATTTAAGAATTACAAGATGTTTTCAAAATAATATATTAAAATAATAGAAATGCATCCTTTTGTTAGAGATGATTTAAAAAAAAATCAAATTTATTGTTTAAATTTTGGTTGTTGAAATTTTGATGTCCTATTTAGTAATTACCAGTAATTCCTTCATCAATAGACAATAAAACTAGTTTCAATCCATAATCATAGCGTTCATTAAGAGTTTTAAGTACTTGAGCTAATACAGTTGAATCTTTTCCACCTGATGCTGCAATTGCAACAACATCTCCTTTATTGAATAATTTACCATTAATTATTGTAGAGTGTACTTCTAATTCAAATGCCCAAAAAAAACATTCTTTACATAACGCATCCCCAGTTTTAGGTCTCTAGCAAAAATAATCTAAATGTAATTTTGAAGTAAAATATTCATGAATAACACAAATGTTCTATATAATTGAATTTAAAGCACTAAAAAATAAATAAAATAACATAAAAATTTGCATTTAAACTTTAAAAAAATGCATTCAAATATACTCAAAAAATCAACAAAATATACTTTTAAAATTTATAAAATATGTTAAATAACATTAAAATTTTAGTTTTGATCTAAATTTATTTATATTTATGTGCCCGTCACCACTTTTTCTCAGATCTCACTGAACTGATTTTTTTAAACAATAAATCACAAATCACAAATTGTATCTAATTAAAGAAATTACTCTAAAAATTTTTAAAAATTTTAAATCTTTGTAAATGGGGAAAATTTTCAAAAAAAAGTTAAAATTTTTAAAATTGATAAATTACTAATTACTAAAGTAGAAAAGAAGACCATATTTATAAAAAATGTTTCTTATATAATACCTATAGGTATTTTTTATTTGTTAAATATATATGTTTAAAAATCTGACATTTCAACTGATCACAGGAGGACTTAAAATTTTTCATGGAAAATTATACTTATAAATAATAATAAAATGAACAAATTTTGGATAGATATTTTTAACTCAAATAAAAATCTTTTACAAATTTAGAGCAGATTATTAAGAAAAATTGTAAAAAATATTAATTAATTTTTTTTATTTTCAGTTTGTAAGAAAAAAAGGCAAAATTTTTCTAAATATATATTTATTTGCTAAAACCTATGAAATATGCAAAATAAAATATTTCACATTTAAATTATATATAACTCAAATTTGAACTCATTTTTTTATATGATGTAGCAAAAAAAAAATTATGTTTCTGATTTGCTATGTAATTGATTTCAAGATGTGATAGTGTATTGATTTTAATGAATGTTGTCTTTAAAATCAACAAAGAATACAATTTATATAGAAATGCATTAAATCTAAAGCAATAATACTTACTTTTAGAACTGCATTTCGTCCACACTTCGATGCACATAGTACTGGCATTCTGTTAATATATTTGTTTAATAAAGTATTTTATTGACAATTCAATATTAAGAAACCAAAAATTACAAATGGGAATTATAACCATAACAATAACTTCTGACAGGTAATAATTAATATAGATTTGTAAATAATGTATTAAAGTTTAAAATTACATTAATAATATTAGTACGAATTTTATTACTGAAATTATGAAAATTTAATCAAAATTTAAAGATTTACTAATAATAATTGTAATTATTTAAATTAATTAATATATTTTGTACGCAAATCACGTGGATACTATTTGATTAGGTTTTAATAGAGACACATTGAATTTGTTTTTCTTGAGTAGTAATGTGATGAATTCATATTGGCCTTCGAGTTGTGAATATGATTTAGTGTTCTTTTATTATTTTTATTTGTATTTATATTAAAGTAAAATATTATTTATTAATTTAATTGAATAGAATCGCTTTTTCTGAAATGATCTAAAAGTTGATCATAAGAAAAATGTTTTCTCCTTAAGTTTAGTAGATACTTCTATTCTCCTTGATCTCACTATATGTTATCATTTTATATTGATACATAGTATCATCAATTATAAGTTGTAATCATAATAACATACAGATAATCTATATCTATATTATTACACGTCATATTATTATTTCCTACATCCGAATTATTGAGTTATAAAATGTTAGATGATAGACAAATATTTTAAAACTGTTGGAATTTTTTAGAACTATTCTATAGTTAACTTTTTTAATTTGTCAATGTTAGGTTTGAATTATTTTCAAATTATTTTATAAATAATAAAATGGGAAGTGCATCAAGTACACCAATACCTGGAGGAGGAACAGAAGGATATCATGTTTTAAAAGTACAATTTTTATTAATAATTAATATTTAAGTTAGGATAATAATTAGTTTAAAAGAACAATTCATTGCTATAAGTTTTAATTTTTAATGATCTTCATTATTTTAAATAACTTTTGTGACTAAAAATCTTACGTTAGTTTTTTTAAATTTTTAATGTTTATTTAAAATAAATAACTTTGAAATATTCAATATAGAAATAAATAAGGTTACATTTTTTTTCACAATTACTATTATTTGGTTATTCTGTCAAACTTTGATGTTCTAAGCAAGGACTTAAGAAGAAAATTACAAACTTTATTTTTAAGAAATTTTATAATATTTTAACTAAAAATTCGAAATATTAGTGCATTTATAAAATTTAAAATCGAAGCTAAAATAAATTATTTGTCATAATTTCTATTGAAATTATTCTAATTAAGTTTTTATTATGTAAATAGGTTCAGGATAACTCACCTGGTCAAATCGCAGGATTAGAAGCATTTTTCGATTTTATTTTAGCAATCGATAATGTTAGACTTGTAAGGTTATTTACTGATTCAATAAGATAAAATCTATTTTTCATATTTATTAGAATGTTATTATTTTATTAAGGATAAAGATAATGATACTCTAAAGGAAATGTTAAAAAATGGTGATGATAAAGAACTAACATTATCAGTATATAGTAGTAAGACTCAAACTGTCAGAGAAATTAAAATCATTCCTAATAGCAATTGGGGTGGACAAGGTTTATTAGGTGTTAGCATACGCTTTTGTTCATTTGCTGGGGCCAATGAAAATGTTTGGCATATTTTGGTTTGTAAATTAATATATTTATTTTCATGTGATAAACTTTATTATATTTTTATTAGATTAAAATCATTGACAAATCTAAAATTTACTGTAGGATGTTCATCCAAATTCTCCAGCTGATAAAGCTGGACTAAAACCTTATACAGATTACATTATTGGTTCTGATTCAATTATGCATGAAAGTGAAGATTTATTTATGCTAATAGAAGCACACGAGGGCCGACCATTAAAATTATATGTGTATAATGTTGATTTAGATTCTTGTCGGGAAATTTCTATTACGCCTGATTCAAATTGGCCCGGAGATGGAAGGTATATTTTTTAATATTTGTTTCCAATAAGAAAAAAATTAAATATACATATTTTTTATTGAACCTTGTCTAACTTAATCTATGTTTAATTCAATGTATTTTGATTAGTTAAGCTTTCCATCAGTGCTTTTATAAAATATTACTTAGTGTTAATTTTTAGTCAACAATAACAGTAATTTTCTTGTTTACTTATATATTTTTAATGATAAATATGATTGTGTATTGTAGTTAAGATTGTATTATGTCATTACTTAAATTACTTCAAAATACTAAACAAACTACACACAAAAACTAGAATTTGAGTAAATTTTTGAGATTTTCCTTTACTTTTTGTATCACCTGAAATTTTTTTCACTTTATATTAACTTAAAATGCTCAAAGTTAATATGATTTTAATCCTTATAAAATTTTCTTTTTGTTGGTTAAAGTTTTATAATTATAAGTTAAACCAAAAATTATATATATATATATATTTTTTATAATAATTTTACCATGTTATTATGTAAATTGTAATTAAATTAAAACTAAAAGTTATTGAAAAAATCTGAAGACAGATTCGGAATCAGCATCTAATATTTTATAAAATTTAAAAACTCACTATTTTTTTTTTCATTTAATTTTAGTTTAGGATGTGGAATGGGATATGGCTACCTTCACAGAATTCCTATACGAACAATACCACAAAATAAAGATATTCCTGCACCTCCTATTATAAAACCAGCTGTTATAAACAATGTTATGGTATGAATATTTACTTTATAATTAAAGAATAGCCTAATTCATTTTTTAATATATGTTTGAATAGGCATCGGCAGCTCATGTACCTCAAACTATTAATCCACCAGTTCTAACACCACAATCGGAAAATAATCATTTGACGTCTGAATCAACTGTTGGACCTTACCAGGATCAAAAAATTACTGTAGTCAACAATCTTAGTAGTTCAATGACACCCATTAATATTAATATTAATTCCGAGGGATCAAAAGGCTTACCCCAAGACCAACAAGTTACTTTGTCAGACACTATTTCAGCAACATCTCAAGTACCAACATTTCAAAATCATTCAATCTCAAATACTCAACTATCAACTTCTCAGTATTACATGCATCAACAAGGGCCAATACCTGAATTGATGAAACCTTATGTTTTGACCCCTGAAGTAAAAGTTTTATCACAATACACATCTGAAAATTCAGTACCAACTATAACTCAAAATGTAATGACATCACCAATTTCTTCAACACAATCCAATCAAATAACAAATGATCAATATGCACCTCAAAATAATCATGTTCTATTTAACACAAATAATTCAATTAGTAATGATTCATTAAGTACTATGGAACCACAAGATAAAAACTCAAAAAGTATAAGTAATTATTTTACACAAAATCCACAGCAAACCTTTCAAAATAATTCGGACACAATACCGATGTTCTCAGTGAAGAATTTCCCACAAATGTCTCCTTTGACTCAACCTCTAGGTAATTGATTGAAATTATATGATCATAAATAAATAATATAATATTAATAATTATTTTCTTACCAAAATTCAGCAACTATTTGAAAATTATTTTTTGATATAGCAGTAATAGTAAAAATAATTATAATTATAATCGTTAAAGGGAAATATTTTTTATTGTTATTTTTCTATATTTTTACTTTGAATAATGTTTAAAAGTAAACATTTATTTTGTAATTAGATAAAAGGATGTCAATATTTGCATAAATTCATAACTTAAAAACAAATACTTTTAATATAATAATTTATCACTTGTAGCTAATATTAAAATTTTAGTATATAAATATAATCATAATATTAGTATGAGTTAAACACTGATGATGGTAATATTGTTCCTAAAATATTAACATGCGGTTTTTAAAAGTTTTGTGGCTTTTGGAGTTAAATATTTTTAACTTTTACATTAGTATTTTAAATTTATATTTAATTTTAAGATATACTTTCAACAACAATTATTATATAGTTAATAATTAAATTAAATCTAATCCCTTATAGGAAATAGTTATTCTGGAATATCTGTACCTCAACCACCAATTCAACCACAAACAAGTATGTTTTTTATCAATAAAAATAAGATTTTAAATAATACTAAATCATATTTTTAGTTGGTCCTTATTCAGGAATGCCACTGACTACTCCAATATCATTACCTGGTATGCCCCCTATAACTGTTAGTGCTACTCTACCATATTCAGCATTTGAGAGCTTACAAATTGATCAGAAGAAAAATAATCCAAACAGTTGAATATATATTATTATTATAACTAGTATCTTGAATTTTATTCCATCATTATTATTTCAAGTTTAAATTAAGTTAATAAAAAATATTTATTGGTATTTAAAGTTTATGAATAAAACATTATAAGACTTTTAATACAAATTTATTAAAGAAAAAATGTTATACTACGTATATATATATATATATTATTAATAAATGTATAAATGTACGTGTTCATATAATAAAAAAATAATAATATTAATAAAACCATCAATAGCATTATTAACAGCAAAATTAACATTTTCCTTACTTCATAGTTTGTATTCTACTCATATATTATGATTGAAGTTCTATTTTCTATAAAAAAAAAAATTTTCATAATGTATAATTTTATCGATTTAAATTATCTTTGATATTAAAAATAATAATAATTTGAGATTAATATACAGCACTTTTTCATACAAACTAAGTACAAAGTATTAGTTTAGAAAGATAATCTAATAAACACATCAATCAAATTTTATAAAAGCCACTAATTTTAGTAAGTCCTAAATGTTATTTTTACTTGAAATATGAATCTAAAGAAATCCTGTTTAAATACAAAAACTAAAACTATAAAAGTAGTTTAATGTTTCAAATATAATCCATGGATAATAAAAAATTATATCATTAAATTTAGTAATGCTAATTATAAATTACTATTTGAGATAAATAAATGATTTCATGAAATCATTCATAACAGAAATTACATTATTGAATGAGGCTAATACACAATAAAAGCAATATGCAAGTGGTCTTTCTCAGTTAAACTAAGGTATCGGTAAACAAACTGAATAAAATTCTCAAAAATTATGAAACTAATATAATTTGATAGAAAATTGTTTCAGTAAAATATTTATTTTTACTTGGATTTTTTAGAAGAATGACGATCCCCACTGCTATCATGACGACGTTTTTCACCACCAGATGACCTGTGTTTATTTCCATGATGATTACTGCTACTTGATTTGTAATGAGATGAAGATTTACTTTTAGATGGACTAAAATAATAATAAAATTAAAATTTTAATATGAAATTCAATATTTTAAATAACTGAATAAACAATGTCTTACATTTTAAACATAATAATAGTAAATAAATACTAAATTAGTGCTTTTATTTTATTATTAAGATTAACTTATTTGTAATTAATTGAGTATTGACCATCATATAGATTAATCCTATTATCATGAACTACTTAATTACTTACAAAATAAATAGAATATTGAAAAAAACATTTTTTATTTTTTTAATTTAATACATTTGTTTAAAACAAAAGATTTAAAAAATAATTAATTATTTTAATCATGCCACAAAGCACAAGTCTCTTTTTTTAAGAGTGGTTGTACTAACTCTCTAATATACACATTTAGATTAACAACCTAGCATTTGTTTCAATAAAACATATTACAAGGCTAATAAAAAAAAAAAACCCCCAGCACAAAGAGGTCAGGTCACAGTAGTGACGTCGCATAGTTGGATCAAGTATAATGATATCTGACAGTAATTAAAAAAGGTTAGATAGCTAATAATATATATTCAATGTATATCTTATGAAATAAATATTAATAACAAGTGTAAAAAATAGCCATACATTTTGGTACAGTCTTGATCATTATAGTTTTAGCCAGATACAGATCTGATTCAAAATTGTAAACAGAATTTTAATTTTAGAAAAAAAAAACCCAGCATAGGGGTGTCGCGTTCAGTGGTGACGTGGCATAGTTGGATCAAGTATAATGATATCTAATAGTGATTGAAATCACTATCATAAAAAACGCTTCGATGCAAATCTTTTGATAGTGTTTAATTTTTATAAAATTGGTGGATTATTCCAAAAGCTACATGATTTGCTATTTCTTTATTTATATCATGATTAAGATAAAGTATGTCAAATGAAAAAGGGATATAAATATTATTCCTTATAAAAAGATTGTGTTGATCCATACACTTTTCAATAAGTTATAGCATTATAAAGTTAAAAATGTAAAAAATAAAATCAAGAATTTTCACACAAAAATAGCGCATTTGGTAGCCATTTTCACCGAGAAAAACAAAATAAAGTCCGAAATTTTTTTTTTCTACAATAAAGTACATTACATTAGCTTTATTTTAAGATATATATAAAAGTGTAAGAATTTCTAGAACACTTTTAAAAGTTAAGTTGAAAAAGTAAATTTTTTGTGAAAAAGTTGTCATTTTAAATCTCTCCTTGTGGGCAGGTAAAGGGTTAGATTTATAAAAAAAATATACCAAATAATAAGTAAAGACATCAAGTATCTATATAAAAAATAGTTATACTGATTTGTTCATTTTTGAAAAAATTATGGCAGTTTTAAGTAAAAAAAATTGAAAAAATTAGCGATTTTAAAATATGTAATTTTTATGGAGGTTTCCCCTATTTACGTGGAACAAGGGAAATTTTTTTCAATTTTTGAGGGTAATGTCTTTGACTAGATACGATTTGTAATCTTTTGACGTATCATTGAAAGAAATTAGTAGTTCGGTGAGAGCTGAGAAAAAGTGACAAAAAAACATATATCATAGTAAAACCAATACTTCTTTAGCTTCGTATCGAAGCTAAATTTAGACCAAGAAAATCATATAAATTTTAATTATGTATTAGTTAAATATTTCTACCTTGAATGACTACTTGGGCGATGATTAGATGATGACTTATTTTTGTTTGGACTGCACATGTAAAGTAAAAAAATTATTAAGTACTCAAACAGAAATTATATTAACATAATTTTATAAATAGAATAATTTTATATACATTTATCAAAATTATAACAACTTACACTGCCATCTTGGTTCATACTGAACCTAAGTAAAAAAATTTAGATGACCTACATAACTCAGTTGAAAATGCATTATACTTTAAAGTGGTACTGGACTTTGAATACATTAAATTGATTCTCTAGTATAAGAAGTAGCTTTAAAGAGAGAATGTTAAATATAAAGTATATATATATAAAGTATATATATATTAAATGCATTACTATTGTGGGAATTTTAGGTTAAAATAGTTTATTAAGATCTCCTGAAAAATTACTACTTTGACTTAATCATGTTCTCACAAAAATCATCCACATATTAGTGTATACAGAATGTCTCAGATCTAACTGACAACACTATAATATACATTTTGAAGCAATAGTCATTTTGTTAAAATTTGTTTTTAATATTTATTTTCTTTTTAGACTAATTTTTAAGCATGTTATTATTATTTATCACTGATAAAAAATTCTGTATTTTTTTTTCTTTCAAAATTTTAAAATATATATTAATATAAATAAAATAAAATATTAAAATTTTGAGCTATTTTCTTACAAAAAATTTTGATTACGTGAGTAGTTGCAACCTGCACTGATGCATGTATACTCTTCCCACATTCCATATCCAGTCTATATAATAAAATGCTTATGACTTGATAAATAACCTGTCCTAAATTTATCCTCAATCCATTAAATTTTTTTTGTAAAAAAAAGATTATTTCAAAATTTTGAAGAAATAAAAATGTTAATATTTTTTTGACAAGATGAATAATAAAAAATACTCTGAATATAGTTTAAGAAGACAATAATTATTTTTAAAAAAGTGTTTTACAAAATGATTAGTGGATCAAAAGTTATAAGTCTTGTTAGTTAAATCTGAAACACTATATATTAATTATTATATCTATCATTGTTAATTAAGACCCCTTTATTTATAATGTAAATATAATAAAATTTGTTAAATACTTGTATATCAAAGTACATTTAATTACTACCTTACTTCAATTTACATTCAAATTATTATTAGAAATACAATCACTTTTATTACAAATTGCAATAATCAATCTTATATAATGAATGTTAATAATTAGATATATATTTAAATAATGTGATTAATCACCTGTGTTTATCACTACTGGACTTTTTATGGGAAGAGGAACTATTATATCGACTACTTTTTTTTTTAGAGTATTCATCTTCAAATTCATTTCTATCCCTATCTTCTTCAGCAGCTTCTCTTTCCAGATCTGACCAATCTTTACCAGATTCATCAGATGAACCAAGTTCTTCTTCTACAATTCGATAAGATTATATGATAGTATATATAGTTATTAATAATCAACTTTAGAATATAAATTATACTCTACCTTCACTATCAGAATCTTCAGATGCTTCAGAGTATTCTGATCCATCATCATCTGATTCTTCAAATGATTCTACATCAGAGGGCTAAAAAGAGAAAAATTGCATTAATTATTAAATTAAAAATAATAAGATATATAAAACTAAGAGTGTAATTGTCTAGAAGTAAATTTTACTTCATATGGTTCATCTTCTTCTTCTTCCTCATCAACGGCACCATCTTCATCATCAGATTCCGGATCTAAGAAAGTCCAACCACCATTTTCAAAGAATCCTTCAGGATCATCAGTGATAGTTTTCATGATTTTAGTCCAGTTTAAAGACTGTATGCCTTCTGAGTATCGAATGTCGCAAGAACTGAAAATTTTATTAAATAATAATATTGTACCATATCTACATTCAAACATGCATAATCTGAGTTGTTACTATTTTTTAATTTTAAAATTCCCTGACTTTCCAGACATTTTTCAAGAGGCAAAGTGCCCCACCAAAAAAAATGTCTCACAAACGTCCAATGTAATAATTCAATTTAGTACCATAATTAATAGTAGTAAAAAAATATTAGATAATACTATTATTACTATTTTTATTATTTAAATAAAGCATGAAAAATTAATAACCATTACTTATAGAAGTAATAAAATATTAATACAAAAATGATAAAATTTCACCTATAACATGTCATTAAATTATAATAATACAATATTTAAATAAATTAAAATCCATTTAACAAAACTATTAATAATATAAATTATTATAATTGTTATTAAATTTTTACAGAAATCCACTATATCAGTGGCAGACTGATCACAGAGGTAATGAGGTAATTAACCCCTGGGTCACTATAATTAGTATAATCTATAATCTAGTTTGTAAAATTTATTTTCTGCCTTTCTGTTTTTGCTCATCATTTCTTTTTAGGGATTAATAGAAATATCTTTTGGAGTGAGCTGGACTAACACAAATATTGTGCCCCCTAGGCTGTTGGTCTCCCAGTCCAGCCCAGCATTTCACAATAACATTTTTTTGTTAAAATTCCAGATACTTTAATAAAATTTCCTAACATTCAAACAGATTTATGGTAACCTAGATAATATATATTAAAATATACTAACTTAAGCCATTCTTTTACATGGTCTAACATATTCATGGGAATAGCATTGACCATAACAACTTTTTTGTGGTAATCTTTAAAAACAAAAATCATATCAAAATTCTTTAAATGAAATTGAACACGCTCAAAATGGACCAACTCAACATCTTCTAATGTAATAACAAAAGGCGGCCATTCAGTAAAATTTACAAGACACCCACTTGTAGGTTGTAAGAGTACAGTACTCCTAAATGGTGCTCCAGGAAAACCTAAATCTCTAAATGGTGTATCAAATTCTATTTCCTGTTTAGTTACAGCTTCAACCTGAAAATAAAACTTATAAAGTAAGTACTATTAAGAAATAGACAATCTTCAACAATATTTTATTTGTTTTAATATTGTTTGATTTTTTTATATCACATTGTCATTGTTGTCTTGTTATTTGGTTATTAACTTTTGATAAATTATCATTTTAATTATTTAATGTAGTGATTAAGTTCAATAAATCTATTTAATAATTAAAATATGTGGTAATAAAAATAACTTATAGATTGCAATACCTTTTCACAAAAACTTTTAAATGCTGTTTTAAGTTTTATTCTTAACTCGCGCTCAGACTGTTCTGCAGCTAAATCATCTCTGTCATGCATGTGTTGATGTTTACCAAGATCAGTAGTTATTTCGCCTACTTCTGTATAAAATTGAACATCTAAATGTTTTTTCTTGCCAAACATAATAGCATGCTACAAAAAAAAGGTTAAGTAAATAGTTTCATAGTTCAAATTTTCATTCTAGTTTAAATAATAATTTAACTATTACTTTGAGATGAAAATGTAGTAAGATAATCATTTCACCATCACATGGTTGGAAAAAAGCATTTTTAATATTGTTGTATAAAATATCAACTTTGTCGCCTCTGACTGATGTGTACCTGAAACCATTTGAATGTGCTTCCAATGTACCTAAAATTTTATTATTCATACATTAATGAACATTGTAGTATTGTATGTGTACGTAAAAGCCTTAAATTTTTTAATTTAAGTTAATATTCTTACCTGTCATTCGTTTGTTTACAATATTTGGTCGAATATACAAATCCTTCAATTTGGGATTTCCTTTATTTACAGATAAAACTAATGTATCTTGTTTAACTAAATCTTCCTTTTCTTTTTCTTCTGCTTCACGAGTTTTAAATTTTTTCTGAACTTCTTTAATTAAACGATATGCATTCATTAAATTAGTAGAAGCTGTAATTTGTTCACCGGGTTCTCTAGTATTTGAACTTCTATAAGTTCTAAAATACAAAAAAAATTATTTATACATAAATATATATACTTATTTATCAACAAAACTGTATAGTAGAAAAATGATAATAACTTACAATTCTTTGACAAACATGGCTTCAGGATTTTGGAAATAACTTTCACCTTTAGCTAAGGCAGCTCCAGGATGAAAAAAATTTATTCTTAAATAAGTATAATCCCCTTCAACACTTTGAGATATATTCTTTATAGTAAATATATGAAATGGGACAGGAATTCCAAAAACTGGTAAAATAACGGTTTCATACTTTTTGTCTATCAAAATACATACATTAATAACCAAAGTTATAATTTTTTTTTTAGTAAAAATTTCAAAGTTACTTACCAACAAAAATTTTAAGATCCTTAACATCTCTTTCTTGGGGCATCTGATTTCTGTTTTTGTAAGATACATTTGATTTTCGTACTTTCTGAGCCTGTTTACCACTAGATTGTTCTGCTAATCGTTGTTTTGCAGCTTCATTCAATGCTACAGCAAGTTCTTTTTGATGCAATTTTCTTTTTTCTTCACTAGATGAATCCATCTAATTTTTATTATTATTATTATACTGTACACTTAACAATTTCTCTTAAAAACTAATGTAAGTGGTCAAGAGGAAGAGAAAAAACTTTATAGTTTAGCTATATGAGATATAATATCAGTAGTTGTGCACTGGAGTATAGATTTTCTACCAAATGAGCTATATAGAACTCATAATAATACATATTAAGCCTTAATAGATAAAAGGGTGCAAATGACACTTTAACTAAAATGTCACTCACTCCATTTATTACGGCACAATATTATATAATGCATATACACTAGCTAGGGTGAATCAAAAAAAGTCGATCATTAACCCTTTTAACTTTATTGGAGACATTAAAATAGACAATTTGTAGAAATTTGAGATTAAAAAAAAATTTTACTGGTTGCTAAAAAATGTGTTTTTTGTATTTTGACCAAAATTAACCCAAAAAAATACCCTCTGTTATTCAATTTTTGGTTAAATATTATGATTAGTATATCAAATTAGTTAAGTTTTTACTGTAGAATACAAATTTTTTTTTTTTAATTATTAAGTAAAAAATTGATAGCGTGGATATCATAATTAGCGTCATTATATCATATATTTATAGTAAGTTTTAAGTAAACTAAAATTTTTTATTTATATAATTAGGTTGATATGTATGTATATTATAAGTAGACAAAAATGTTTTCACTTATCTTAAAAACTTATACCTTATTTTATAGATAAAGCATAAGCTGAAATATATGATATTCTTAAAAATATTAATAAATGATAGTTGATTATCAAGTACATTTCAAATATTTCATTTATTTTAAATATAATATGTAACATAAGAATACAATTTTATGTTATAATAAAATTATACAGTATACATTTAATTAAAAATAATGAAACCAATGTGAAGTTACAGGTTTACTAGATTTTAATAGTAATATTTTAAATGTTTTTATAGTTTTATTTCAATAACTTTTATGATCTTATTATGATAATAACTAGTTTTAATAACTAATAACCAATTTTTTATAGTAAAATATATGTTGCTATTTGAAAAAATAAAGTTGATATCCTTTTAAGTTATAAGAGATGATTCTAGAAAGTAATTATTAGCTGTTAAATCAAGAAATTTATGTAGCTAACAGATATAAAAATTTTTTTTCCAATATATTTATTTTACAAACAAACGAATGGTTTATAATAGACGATTACTCTGCACAGTTATTATATAGCAGTGTTGGGAAAGTTCCTTTTTAAATGGAACTCGTTCCGTTCCCCGTTCATTTTCTAAAATATGAACTCGTTCCAGATCCTAGTTCTTTATATTAAGAAGGAACTTGTTCCAGATCCAGTTCCTTCAAAATAAGAACTCGTTCCTTTTATGTAACCAAGTTATTTAAAAAATTGTGGTAATGAGATCATGATAACGGTCATCAATGATTTTCATCAGCAGTCGAATACAAAACAAATTTGTAGTATTCCTTATTTAAAAGTATTTGAAAATTATATTTATAAGCAGGTAGTAAATGCTAACGACTTGTGTCAACGTGACCAATGTCTATTGTCTACATATAAGTTAGAAATAATAAATCAGAAAACCCAAAACCTTTAACATATATTAGTTAACAAGAATCGATGATAATATTTGGTGCATTATTTAATATATGTACACATATATTAAATATTTACTGTATACCTACATGTGATAATAACTCTATTTATAGTCAATTGATTCATTTAAACAGCCTACGATCTCGGCTGGGTATATAGGGGACTTCCATTGTCAAAAGTCAACTAAAAATACCTTAATATTTTAATGTCTAGATACAAGGAAAACTACACTAAAACATGTTTATAAAAATTTTTAGGAACTGTAATTTCCATTCACGTTCCTTAAAAAATGGAATTTGTTCATTTTCCTCGTTTCTTTATTTTAAAAGGAAGCAGTTCCTAGCATCGTTCCTTCAAAAAGAACTCGTTCCAGGAATCCGTTCCTTTTGGAACCAGTTCCTTCTCAACACTGCTATATAGATACTATAAACCAATATTGTATTATTTTTAATAATTCAGTTTAATAATATAACAAATTAAATAATATTTATATACAAAATAATATTATAATAAATTTCCATAAGTATAAGAAAAAAAACTTACTCGTAATTTTGATTCTAACACAGCTGTTCTTTTACCCCGCCCAACTAATGGTTCTTGTTTAGGTTCATTTTCTTTTTCATTATCTTCATCATCATCATCATCATCATCATTATCATTTAAATATATAGCAATATTTTTAAGTTTCTTTTTAGAAGGAGTTAATAAGGTAGCTGCAACGTCCTAAAAAGTAAAAAAAAATAAAATTATTAATTTATTTAATTTAAATTAGTATTTTTCAACTGGGGAGTCATAAACTAATTATTAAGGATTGCCCCAAAATTATTAATACATGAAAACATCTATAGTAGAGATATTTAAAAATTTGAAAATCTAATAGGAATTGCCAATTATTGATTTAAATTTCACACATATTAGATAACAACACAGGTCAATATAATGATATTTTTTAATCATCACAGATGTAAATATACTTTTCTAAATCAATTTTTTTCCCGATTTCAAATCTGTATTTAGATTTTATTCAATAACCTTTAATTTTTAAGATGATTACTAAAAAATAAAAAAAACGAGTTGTAAAGCAAAAAACTTTTTCTTAAATTATTATTGATTTTTGCGTAAAATTTATAAAAAAAATAAACTTAACTATTTACAAAAACTTTGTTTTACTCAATTTATAAATTTAAAATTTTCATAATAAAATTGGAAAATTTATGAGGATTTAAAAATAGTGTTGTTCATAGATTGGTGTGTTGAGAAAATTATACAATTATTATTAATAATAAATTTATGAAAAAACATTTTGTTAAAATCACTATTTTTAATTCAGTGGATAACACTATGTGCATATGAGCATAAGTTCTTCAGTTTGATACTTTTGTACTGGGGTATGTAAGTTTTCCATTCTCTCTTATATGAGCAATAGCTTTTAGAGAAAACGTTGAATATGATTAAACATTAATAATAAATAACGAAAAAAAAAAAAAAAAATGATCTGGAAATTTCAATTACACATTTTTTAAAATGCCAAGAATAACATAGAATTGATTACTTAGATTTCTATTAAAATTATGTATACATAATGAATGCAAGAAAATAGGGATTTTAATTAATACTTTGATAGAAAAATATAATTTCAGATTTGAAATTGATTTAGAAAAGTACATTTTTGTCTCTGATGAAAATAAATTATTGACCAGTGTAATTATTTAAAGCAATATATTTAAGTAACTGTTAATTGATAAATAATTTTCCAAGTTGTTTAAGATAATGACACATAAAAATAAAATAGATATAATAACTAATAATATACAATTCCAACTAATAACATATTTTTTTTAATTTTTCTATCTCAGTAATTTTAGCTGTAATTATTCTTAACTATACTGAAATAATAACAATAATAATACACTTACTTCATTAACTAATACAGTATCACCAATATATAAGGCATATATTTTGCTTTCTTTATCAGTTCCTTCTTTGTTAGTTAATCCTGATAGACCAACACATAAGTTATAAATTTGTCCTTTCTTTGCTTGAGTAATTGTTTTTGGAGCTATCATTAAGGAACTTTCACGAAATTCAATTCCTATAACAAACCTTAAAAAACATTAAGTTTTAACATTTTAAATTGAACTATTTTAAAATGAATTAAAATAAAAATACAGTGGCATGATGACTTACAATTTTATACTCACTTTAAATGAAATTTTAATTGATAATTTAAGTATAAATAAATTTTTTATTAAAGAAAGGATTAAAATATTTAATTTTATGTAAATAAAAATATATTTTTCTTAAAGAAAATGACTGGTTGGTAAAAAATAACTACTTAGAAATTAAACAAAAACATATATATATATATATATTAATGAAATAATAATTAAACTAAAAATTATTGGATTTTCATATCTTCATCACTCACCTATATATATATATACAAATATGTAAAATGTTAAAATAGAACAACAATTTATACATTTGAAAAACAAAATAATTTAATAAAACATTTTTAAAGGTAATTAAAATCAATACTGAGATCTGTGTATTATCAACAAAATAAAAAATTAATCATTGTTGACTAAGAAGCGACATAGTCAAACTTCAATATATGACTGCTCCCCTTTTCCTTACAAAATGCCACTGATTAAATGTATAAAATATTACCCAAAATTTTTTGTCAAGAAATCAACCAAATGAGGCTTTTGTTTTCTTACAAATTCAATGCCAGAATTGTACACATTACACAATTTGTTACCAGCTTTAAGTTCAGATATTAAAACTTCTTGTAAACTCACCAAAAAGTCATAATTTACCTAAAAACAAAGAACACTAAATAAATACCACAATAATTTACAAATTCCAATTTGTATTTTTCCAACTATGAATATTTATAAGTAAGATATTATTTTTATTACATAACAGTTAATTGTTTACAAAAAAAATATATGCATTTTGAGTCTGTAATTTGTTATTGAGGACACATAAAATATAGTAAAATACCAAATTCATTCAATTTAGTGTGGATATCAACAAAATTCAGCAAATATTGCTATAACATTGTTACTAAATAAAAAATTATTATCTTTCACCATATGAATAATATAGCAAAAACAACAAAATGACCCTAAATCAATGTGATTTTTTGTGAAATATGAGTGGTTTAACATCCAAATGATGATAAAGAAATACAAATTTTGATTAGTAGTGATTTTTAGAATATCTCTTCATTTTAAAAATATATTAATATGTAATTTTTTTAGCTGTTACTCTATATTGCATAATTTTTATTTTCACTTTTTTGCAATGACTCCAAAAAAAACGAATTTATGATCTTATAATTAATTTATCGAGAATTGAAATTGAATTTTTAATTAATCTTTAAAAGGAAATTTCTTAACCATGGATACTTTGGGGTGAGTGGTTAGTCTGTCACCAATAAGAGTAATGGCAACTCCATTTACTGAACTAATCTCTTGCTCAGCAAATGAAGCCTTTTGTGACTGAGTCTTGAAATTAAGATAATGCGCATTAGACACTGATGTGTTACCAACTCAGTCACATCGTCCCCCATATATTGTACAATTATAATTTATAATAAAATTAGTTTCTCAATAGTTAATTTTAAACAAACCTGCATTTCTTCAGTAGGATTGACCAATAAAGTTCTTATTAAATTAGAACAATAAGATTTGTAACGTACTCCTAAACTACATATAATAGCTCCAAAATGAAGGACATTTTTATCACTGAAATCATAAATAATTATGAATTTATAATGAATATAATATAAATATAATTAACCTTGTAGCAGAAAATTTCAAACTGTAATTTCCTCCACTTTGAATGATTGGAGGATAACAAAATTCAAGTTGTGATGGATCAATATTTGGTGGTAAATACTTTTTTTCTGATATTGCTCCTTCAAGGCCCTCAACCAATTTTGAATGTTTCACTTTCTAGTAATAAAATATAAATATATATATATACATATATCAAATATACTAATTCATTAAAATTGTTTGTGTTGTGATGATTAATGTATTTTTTTATTAAATATAAGATGGTGTTTTTGGTGTTACATATTATTAGGCTTTTAAGAAAAATGTATATTAGTTAAAATTATTTTTGAATTTTAATATGAAGACAACATTTTTCAAAGTAATATTTTTAATATTATTAAGACACTTATTAAGAAATATATAATTAATAGGTTAATTAAGTATATTAAAAACAAATAGGTTAAATATTTTTTATTTAAGCATTGTTAGAAACATGAACATAATATTAAAAATATAATTTATTTATATGGACATAAAAAAAACAACATATATCATTAAACTATTGTGATAACCTCAAATATCAACCTTTTACCCAATACATTTTACTATTTACTCTTTTTGAATCTTACACATTTTAATAATTAAATTATTAACATATTTTTTTATACTTATTCTGAAGTAATACTTTCCTTACAAAATACTTATTATGTCTGGTACTTCTATCGGAATTAGTTATCTACTTATAAAAACTGTCATAAAAAATATGGCCCGATACAATCCAAATTTTATTTTTTAAGCATAATCTGCCCCAAACTTTATATATATATGTATATGTAAAAATTTAGGCCCAATTTATTCTGGTCAAAAAAAAAAAAAAAAACAAGATAATTCCATAAAAATTTATTTTATTCAGATTTGTTATCTAAAAGGTTTGATCATTTTAAGCATATTTTATACTAGTTAAAACCTAATATAAAAATTAAAATATTAACAATTTATTGATATTGAATTCATTAATTTTATACTGTCACACAAATTTGATACTCATACTTTATTAATATCAGCTGAATACAACTTAAATATAGTTTACCTTATCAGAGTCAATAACTTCCATTATTTGTTCTTTTAAGTACTTATTAAATATGTCAACTGAACTCAAACTGGCTTTCTTTATTAAAGTTATTTCATTTTCAGCTTTGAAGCTCAATATATACCCCATGGCAGTACTTATATCAACCTAAATATTAAAATATGTAATTTCTAACACTTAACCACAATATCTAGATAAAAATAATATAGCTTACAGTTTCAAAACCTCCTTTATCAAATTCTGATCTCCATGTATCCATAAATGCACCAGGGTATTTTTCTTTGCCGAAAACTCCAACTGACTTACCACTTTTACTATTTTTAATAGCTTTAATTAGTTTTTCAAAACTATCTTTATCATTACCACCCTAAAGCAAGATTTAAAATTCAACAAATGAAAGATGAAAAATAATTATTTTCTTAGTATTATTATTAAAATACTTAAAATGTATAGTTTCATTTATTAAGTTACACATAGACCATTTCTATAGATAGCTTTTTTTTTAAATATTTTACATTTAATTTACTGTCTTGTAAACTATTTTTGTTATAGAGCAAAAAAAATCTGTGGAGATTCGTGAAATTAAATGGAACCCTGGTATCTGAGCAACAAAGCATGACATGCTCCCAAATAAACTATACAGATAGCATAAAATATATTTTTTATAAACAGTTGTAATTGAAATGAATAATTGAATTACTAGATATAATACCAACTAAAAAATAAAATATTTTTTTATAATACATACTTTTTCTCTCATTATAAGTTTAACAACTGGAGATTCAGAATCCTTTACATTTTCAGCTGGTTTTAAAAACTCAACTTTTTTTTTACTTGCCATAATATGAAGACCTTCTAATGTAAATACTGATATGGTGTCTGTTAGTTCATATCCAAACAACCAAATCTATATTAAAAAAAAATAAAAAATTAGAAAATTATCAATAAACCTGTTATCAAACATAATAAATATGGGAAATGTTACCTTACAAATTTACTAAAATTGGGCAAGAAGTACTCTATTAAATAAAAAATATAAGGAAATTTGTAGAAGGAATAAAGGAGGATTCCCTACAAAAGCATACTATTGACATATTAGAGTCGGTCTTAGGGATACAATGGAAATATATTAGAAGACTAGGATGATTAAAAAACACAGTGCAGGATTGTAACCTTTGACCCAAGGCATCACTATAAATGTCTTACTACTAGAATACCGTGAAATTGTTATCAAGTAACCAATATGCACCCATTAAGGGATGGATACATCGTTACAGGTGCAGTTCATAATATATACAAACTTTTCAAAATATAGGATGATTCTTTTCAAGCTATCCTCGCAATTTCTTTTATAATAATAAGTTTTTTGAAAATTTTTTTTTTTAGATTTTGTTAGTTACATATGTTTTTCCATTAATCTGTTATAAAATAATTTTTAAGTTCGTCTGTTATATCTTAAAGGGATTTCAACTTTATTATTATTAATGGCAACATATATATATATATATATATATATAAAAAAATCATACCTCTATAAGATATAAGAGATGGACTTAAAAATTATTTTATAGTAGATAAATGGAAATACATATGTATTTAACAAAAAAAATTATTTTTAAAAAAACTTAATATTTTAAGAGAATTTGAATGGCTAACATTTCATCAGGAATTATTTAGTATACAGGAATCAACCTGTATACTAAATAATACTACAATTTAACTTCTATTTACTCCCCCATCTCCAATTATCAACTGAAAAGGAGTACCTAATTAATATATTATTTAAGAACATTTAAAGAATAATATACATTTGGAAAAAGTAAATATAATTGTTATTATAATAAAAACAATTTTAACACACTGGAATTTTTATTCTATAGCAATACTAAAATGACATTAAGTAAATAATTTTATGTATTACAAACCTGTAAAGAAGATGATTTGCTATACATAGTATAATCATCAACTCCAACAGCGCACATGAAAGCATCAACATCTGAAAACAATTGTACATTTTCATCTTTTCCATTCTGAAAAATAAAAAATGAATATTTTCAGATTATAATTTTTATAATATACCTTTTGGACATAAAAATATGACTAATTTCTTAGGTAATTTTTTCTATTAAGTTTCAATGAACAATTTATAGAACTGAAGCTCCTCATATCAGGGATGTATTTAAAAAAGGGTTAAAATAATCATTTCCTGGATTTGTATTAGCTCTATGAACAACACACAATGCAACTCTTTTGGAAGGTTGAAACTTTAAAAGTATATCTCAAAACAACTTTTTTTGAAATATGGCTTTATTGCACCTACAATGCAATATTAATTTTTATGTAATATAATAAGATTGTATTATCTTATCTCATTAAAAATAATATGGACCAATGCTTGTTTTCTTAGAATAAATTTGAAAAAATTAAGTTTAAAATAACTTTAAAAAAGTTCAAATATGTAGCAACTAAATTTTAAAAAATAAAGATTTTTAATAATTTTTTTTAAATCTATAGAAAATAGCTACCTTGAAAAATAAAAAATTATTTATAAGACAAGAATATTATTATGTTGCTACTACAGGTCAGTTTATAAACAAATGAAGTTTAATTGAAAAAATTTTTTTAAATTCAATACTTTTTATAGCACCAACAAAATAAAATTTTATAAGCTTGTGCTTAAAAGATAGGAAATTATACAAATATAAATACTATTAAATGTAATTTCTAAATGTCGTTATATTGTTAGAAATTATTAACATTTTTAAGTTCAAATTCAATGTTTACATCGATTATTATCACATTTATTACACAATTTATTAATTTATTATTTAGTATTAAAGCTAATTTTTATCTGTTATCCATTATTTCTTATTTGCTGATTTTTGTAAAAGCCGTCTGGCGTTAATTATAATATAATAATAATAATAATAATTACCTTCCAAAAACTATAAAGCTGTTTTAGTCGCTTAAAAAAAGTTTCTTTGTCCAAAGCAACGGAAGGCATTTCAATTTATTTGTGTACTGACAACATTAACTTAACAAAAATAAGAAAATTATAATATTAAAAAACTATCATTTGATACACAGAATTAATAGAGTAATAAAATATTGACCATCAACGTGTGTCAGTTTTTTCCCTCGAAAATCAACACGTTTGTACTCACGAAAAGAAACGTTCAGTTATTCTTCTTTGATCAAACGATTACACGAGAACATTCAGCCAAACAAAATAATATGATAACAACTGTTTATAGATGTCGTTTTTCGTGTGTTTCATTTACCGAACTATCGACAGGTCTGACATCTAGTAAACTTCGTTCATGATAAGTTATTAATTTGTAATTTACAAAAAAAGAAAGTAAGTAATTATAATAATTATATACTCATAGAGACTTTTAGAGGCTTAACCTCCACTTCCACAAAAAATTAAACAATTCGACGTACTATTGCACTAAAATAATTTTTTAGGTACAACATATATAATAAATAAGATATCCCAATAATTTTGTTTAATTTAGGTTTATATTGAGTAGTCAAACTTTGGTACCAATAAATAAAACATCTTTTTAACAAATATTATACATAAAGGTAATTAATTTTAAATTGGTTATTCTCTGTCGTGTTTTTTTGTTTTTATACGCGATTACTCACACTCCTGGACCGATTTTACTTAACGATATATCAAAATATCACGAAGTTTATCTAAATTAAGTTATTAGAACTATAATTTTAAAAAATTCCTCTCAGTTCGGTTAATTAATAGAATTTTTCTAAAAAATTAGTTTTGATGATACAGTCAATGTTGATATTTTTCATTTTCACTTAATATTGAAATAACTTTTTGAAAATTAGACGGATTACTGTAAATAAAAATTTTATAATACTTTAGACATAACGTTGCCAACAATAATTTTTTCGAAAATCTAATCATTAACCAAGGTAATATTGGGGACTTAAAAATCATATCGACATTTTTTTCTTTTGAATGATTGATAATGATTCAAAAACCCACATAAAATTAAAACTAATAAAATGTATTTTGAGATGAAAAAAGAAAAACTATCCGAAAATTAATTTTCTATGAACTATGGGACAATTAATACAAAAATCATACAAATTTCGGTAAAATGGCTGTTTTAGAAATGATTGGCATAAATATAATATATAGACATAATGACAAAGTTATTATGTCTATGCCCTAATATGACATGATCTGTAATGTATCACTGATAAATATTATTCCGATTTGTATGTCATATATATAGTATATTTGATTATAGAAAGTGTTTAGTAAGTAAGGAAATAGATTAACTTACAAATAATGAGAATAATAGAAACTCGTTTTCTTACTTAAGCCGGGTTTCTATTGCCTATTTTCCGAATTTTCGTTATTTATCTATATTTATCAAGCAGTGAAAATAGTGTACTTGTACGAATGTTCGACATTCGTCATCTTCCCGACAGTTGTCAGTATTTGTGACACGAATCAAAGGGATTATAAATATTTGTCCAAATACGCGATAAATAGGAACGGTCTACTATGCTATGTATTTTATTTTAACAAATACTCGTTCAAAATCAATACTATATTTATTTAAATAAATTTTCAATTGTATTATATTATTATACAAAGTGATTTTTTAAAACTAATCAATCAATTACCCTTAAAATAATGTGTTTTTTTTTATTTTGTTAGCTACATATTTATCTCTACATACCTGTTATAAAATAATGTTTAGGTCCCCATCCCTTATATCTTATGGAGATGTCAACTAATACTAGAAATATTAAAGCTTTTAAACTTTAAAAAATAAATAAGTTTTTTGTATCTAGTATTAAATAACAATAAAAACATGGAAAATATAAAACAATTTTACAAATAGACGAGTAATGGGAACCCAGATTTACTGATCAATATAATAAAAAACAAGGAAAAAAACGTTTTTCTGGGAAAATTACTTAGCGTGCTACGATTTTCAAAATTTTTGTTTTCAACGTAAGTGACTCCGAGAAAATTTTTGGCAAAGGTCACAACATTTTTTTCACTCGCCCTCAAACGTTTTAAAAGTTTGACTGGTTTCAAGAATAACGCTCGCTGACGCTAGCGTTTAACGACATAAGATTTAATATTTTCACTAAACCTGCCCTAAGACATTTTTGTGATGTCATAAAAAAATTAATTTAATCTGGTCATTTTTTATCTTTTTACGAGCTTTTATTTTTTTATACGCTCGAGACACCAGGTCCTGCCGCCGAAATTCTTGCAACACTTTACGACACGAAAACGATTTTTTTTCGATTCGCAACTTTACCACGGCAATCTACACGTTCCATGGAAGCGTCAAAAAGATCCGACTGAAACTCTGCTACAAGTGTTTTAAATTCATACAATTTTAACGAGAAATAAAGATTTTTCTGCATGTTAATACATACGTTTTATTATAAAACAAAACAAGGAAAAAAGTGCTTTTCTGGAAAAATTACTTAGCGTGCTACGATTTTCAATTTTTTTTTTCTACGCTTATTTTTTGATTAAGGGTATCGTCTAATTGTTGCGCATATATATAAATTCTAGTCAGTTACTTATTACTACTTATTAGGATGGTCCGAAGAGGCTAAGGCGCATTAGGCACGTTAGGCCTAATTTAAGCCTGGTTTAATAAATTTAAAGCAAATCAATTTTTTTCCTAGGTGGTTGTAATTACAGCTGATTCCTCATTTCAGTTTTAAATAAATCTACATTTTGTTTTTACAGTTTTACAGTTTTTACTAAAAACTAATAATAAAACTATTATATACTATTTTTAAGTTTTTATTTAGCATAAATTATAGTCGAATTATTATTAAATTGTTGACTTCGAGTCTTCTTATTTTCAACTCGTTCAAACGCTACTCATGGTAACACCTTATCTGTCACATTTTTGGGAAGTATGTGACGATTAGAACAAAGTTTTGTCCTGAACTGGCTAAACTACTGAGTTCTGATTCTCTCACTAGTTGTGAATTTATGAAAATTCAATTAGGTGTGGAATTAGGTGTTTTAATTATGATGGTCAAGCAGGCTATTGCTACCTTATCTTATGTTTTTATTTTTTAATTTGTTATCGGTTTTTTTAAAATATAGGTAATAATTATTAAATAAAAAAAATAACAACTTGTCTTTTATTTAAAGCACTTATTAATAATGCATTATTAATATATTATTGTTATTATTATTCCTAAATTATAGTTTAATATATTAATTATAAATAAACACCAACAAATAAAAAAAGCAAAATTAAATTAATAATTATTTACTATAGGTATATTTATTCATATTTCGAATAATTTTTCGATTCTCTCGATAAATAATAATAGTTGATTATTCTTATCATACGAGCAGACGATTTTAACTTCGAGTGATTTTTCGAGAGATTCACTCGATTATGAAAATGTCTCGATTACTAATCATTCGATTATCGAAATCATTCGATTATGCCCATCACTAGTTTTAAGTTATGTCCAATTATAAACAAATTTTATAGGTTATTATTAAATAGTTTTAACAACTTGGTCTTATCATTCTTATCAAATTTTCTTATTTTTCGTCGCAAGTTTTGATTCTTTTGCTTTATTTTAATTGAGATATTTGTAATACATTATTTTTGAGACAATTTTGGTATTTTTGAAGAAACCTAGATTGTTTATTGACCTTTGAAAATTATTTTTTCTTTATTAATTATTATTTTTATAATGAATTCCTTAGTGAATCTTATTCGAATATCAAGAATGACTTCTCAAGCCAATCGATTAATACATCGATTTATTTCTACATCTAAAAAAAACCAAGAAATTTGCGTGACTGATGCTGAAATTTCTCAACAAGAACCAGTAAGTTGATATTATTCTTAATTTGTTAATAATCATCAAGGTGCCCATGGAAAAATTATTAGTTTAAGTATAGGCTGTGAAGATATAGACAGCAGTATTGAAAAATATTTAGGTTAATAATGACATATTTAAGTTATGAAATTATTTAATACAATAAAATGTTTAAGTGCTAGATAACGTGACTAATGATAATCATATAATAACTGTTTATTGAATATTAATTTACTATTAATGTTGTCTGTAATATGTTTAATTTAACATTTATCTGTTACTCTTGAATAAAGTATATCAATTAAATAGAAAAATAAAATCTTTATTGCAACATACACATTTAACTAGTTTAAATTATTTTATATAATTACAACTTTAAATCAGTATTTTGGAAGTTAACTATTTTAAATATAGGCTAGAGGTGTGGGATATGTTATTTTTATTAAGATGCATAACTGTTGCACTACTCCTCCCTACCAGGCATAAAAATATTCATAACCTCTGAACTACTTGTTGAAAAGTTGTATTCAACCAGTAATTTCCTTAATTGGAAAATTTTCTATTATACGAACTAGTTATAAGGAAGAAAGGATAGATCTATAAGATATTAAATCACTCAAAAAAAAAAAAAAATGAGAACTAATTACTACTTCAATAAGTCAAAAACAATTTCTCTAATTTATTATTTTGGAAGAAATCTAGTGTTCAATAATAAATCAATCACACAGTATATATACAGAATGATCGGTTTATCATAAACCACTTAATTATTTGCAAAGTAAATATTTCTTGATTTATCAGCAAAAATTACATTTTAGAATCATTCCTTATAACATAAAGATGTGTTAACTTTATTTAAATAGCAAAATATATATTTTACTAGCTTAAAAAATAATCTAATTATGATTAATCGATAATAACTTTTAGCCCAGTACTTTGGAAGTTATTCTCATTTTTATATCTAGGCAAGAGGCAATGTACAGCCAGGAATCAACTAGTGATAAATATAGCTGCACCCACTCATCACCTCTAGTAATTATATTAAATTGCTAATAACTTTTAAAATACTGGTACAAAAGATTTTATCGACCAGTGATTTTTATTATTAGATTATTTCCTATTTTATAAACTAGTTAAATATGTACGTTTTTATTAAAAAAAATATAAAGTTGACACCCCTATAAATTATGAGGAATGATTCTGAAAAGTAATTTTTTGCTGATAAATCAAAAAACATATGTAGCTAAAAGAAATAAAAAAATTTTTTCAATATTTTATTTCTTTTAAGAATAATCAAGTGGCTTATGATAAACCAATCACTCTGTATATATAAATATACATATCCTACTATAGGCCAGTCAACGAAGGAGTAATTTTGGCGAATATCGGAAAAAATTCCCAACCAAATTTTTTTTTTAAAAAAAAGTTGAATTAAGATATGTATAATGACATACTGAAAGTCCTCATTGATTGCAATTGAGCTTTTTTTTTACAGCCTCGCAAAACTTCAAAAATAAGGAAATATGAGATCATGTAGCTTTTGTAATAATCCATTAAAATTTTTAAATTTAATACTATCTACAGATTTGCATCAAGGCGTTTTTTTTATGATAATGATTTTAATCACTGTCACATATCATCTATACTGCACCCAATATACACTCTGTGCCGGGACACTGCGGGGTTTTTTTTTAAATAGTGATTAGTTGAAATAGTAGCAATGGGTTTACTTTAATTATTTCATTATTATATTTAACAATAGAAGTTATTGAAGATAGAGTTATAACTTTATTTGACCTTTTAAGATTTATATCATGAAAGTTATTATCCACCATTGAGTTTATTAGAACAAGACCAATTTTATACACTTTATGACAATTAATTTTATCATTACCAGAAATTCTAGCTGGGTTGACAAAAATGAACATGACATAGGTAAAATAAGGAGACCAGTGACTATAGACAAGGACGTGATTAAAGAGGTGGAAAATGTTAAGTATTTAGGATCAGTTGTACAAAAGAGCGATGGTATTGACGAGAATGTAAGACACAGGATTAAGTGCAGGTGGTTGAAGTGGAGAGAAGCGTCTGGTGTCTTATGGGATAAAAGAATTCCAATGAGGCTGAAAAGTAAATTCTATAATACTATAGTGAGACTAGCTATGATGTATGGTTCATAGTGTTGGGCGGTTGATAAGAAAATAGAGCAGAGATGAGAATGCTTAGTTGGATGAGTGGAGTGACTAGAGAAGATAGGATAAGGAACGAGCATATAAGAGAAAGTATAGGTGTAGCGTCAATTGTGGATAAGATGAGAGATAATAGACTTAGATGGTTTAGTCATGTTATGAGGAGAGAAGAATCGGAAGCTGTAAGAACAGTTATAGAAATTAATGTTGAAGGAAGAAGNTTAGAAATGAATGTTGAAGGAAGAAGAGGTAGAGGAAGACCAAAAAAGAGATGGAGGGATGCTATTGAATGCGATTTGAGGACAGCTGATGTGAGCGTAGAAGATGTGGGAGATCGTGTCAAGTGGAAGCTTAGGATAAGGGTGGCCGACCCCAAGTAGTTGGGATTAAGGCAAAGAAAAAGAAAAATATTACCAGAAATTCCGGTGGCAATTGACAAAATATAATTGTTGTTTGGGAATGTACAATATAGCGTTTAGTTGGGTTTAAACAATATAGCGTCAAATCAATTACCTACTCTATCGGTTGTATCTTAATATATACTACATTTTAATGATACTATAAATAAATAAACTCACACATACACACATGTGCATTTATAACATTGTGTGTAATGTAAGTTTAACAATGTTAAAAAGTAACCGTAAAATAAAAAATATGGAAAATGAATTTTAGTACTCATATTAAATGTAAAGTAACTCAAAAAATATTTGTTTAAATGAAAAAATATAAGATACCTTTTTTATTTAGAATTGTCTTTTAAACAACTTTTGTACGAAACTTTTTTTTTGTAAGTTAAATATTTTTTGAGAAAATTAAAAAAGCTCATATTTTTTAACTTTTATGAGGCTGTAAAAAAAAAGCTCAATTGCAATCAATGAGGACTTTTAGTATGTCATTATACATATCTTAATTCAATTAAAAAAAAAAAAAAAATTTGGTTGGGAATTTTTTCCCACATTTTTCCTTTGTTGACTGGCCTACTACTAATATTCATAAATCAAAATTTGTGTTGTTCCAATTGATTTGTATTATTAAAGCTCTACTGTATAATTTATTTTTGCCTAAATTTGAAAGTATCATTTCATATTTTCAAGTATAGTTTAAAAACATATCTTAATTCTATTATATTATTTAAGAATGTTCTTAAATAAATCATAAAAATTATAGTGTTCACTTATTACTAAAAGCAATCCATTTAAATGCTACTTTTTTGACATGTTATTTTGATACAATTTTTATAGTTACTTATCTTTTAAAAATCATTATTATACTATTTTTTTTTTTTTAATAGCCTAAACGAAATTGGCAATCTTATGGTTTTGAAAAAGATGATGAGACAGCTGATTTAAATGCCATGCATTCTACAGCCTTTTTTTCAGTCACTCTTTGTTTAGTAGGCGGTGCTTTTATTTTTGCCTACATGCCTGATTACAATTATAAAGGTTGGGGTGAAAGAGAAGCGTTCCTCGAGTTAAGAAGAAGAGAAGAACAAGGTTTACCACTTATTGATCCAAATTATATTGATCCCAGCTTAATCAATCTACCTAGTGATGAAGAATTAGGAGATACAGAGATTGTAATTTAAAATGTTTTTAATGCAAGAAATGTGTCAAACACATTCATTTTTTTAGTGAATTAATGAAGTATATTTCAATATGAAATAACTCGCAGATTTGATTGTAAAATAAATGTAATAATTATGTTATCAAACTGAAGTTATTTTATTTCTTTAAGTCCTTTAAAATAAAATTAATATCAGTTTTTATTTTCAAATTTTACACCTTGACTGATTTATTATTTTTTTAATACTTAAAAGAGAAGTTATGACATACTTAATGCATAATATTTTGATCTTACAGATTATATAATACCTGTAAGTACTATACGTAGTACATTATTTTAGGTAGTGCAAAGGAAGGGTGAGTTACCCCATAATATACTGCCGATTTAGCAGTTTTGTATGAAGATGGTAAATATATTGTACTTAACATTTTTTTAAAAGTGAAGAGCTATAAATATTTCTTAGGGAAGCTAAAAGTTAATGTAGAAGATGTATTTTATAAATGAAATTTTAATCTCCTGCTTAAATTTTACACTGGTATGGACCCAATCCAAGTCAAAACTACTAGGTTATTTAGTTAATGAGATATCTGTATTAGAATGAATATTTTGGGGTCCTAAATTCATTTTTCTCTCTTACTCTTTAATATATTGTAACATAAATATACGTATAATTTTTAAGGGGGAAGGGCTAAACGTTACTTAGATCATTGAGAATGATTGATTAAAAAATGTACTATAGTACATTTCTACTTAATCAGCATATATAAAAGTATTAATAAAATTAATTGTATGTGTGTTGTATTTATGTTTTAATAATAAATAATTAAACATAAAATACATAAATATTATTTTTAGTTGCCTGTTGTATTGTCTTCTAAAGAACAGGCGATGGAAGTAGACAACACAAGCCATTTTTTGATAAAAAATCATTGAAATTCTAAACGTGTTTTGATTTTATTTGTAATGCTCATTGTATATTTTAAAATACATAAATAAAATGTATATATTTATATAAACAAATAGACACTAAAAAACATAGTCATCATTAAAGTGATGACCATTTCTGTGTTCTAAACTTACCCACAGACTGTATAAAGATAAATATTTTCATACTATCTGCGACTTGAAAATAAAGAGTGGAACATTGTTGATAGATTGTCGGATTGGGTTTTCGTTGTATTCCCGGAAATTACAATACTAATGATAAGGTCGAACATATGATATTTTGATGATATATTCATATCATCTTGGACGACCAGCAAGACTGGTTTATAATATATTGACTTAAAATAATTACTTTCTCAGTATATTTGACATTTGCTTTTTTGGAAACCACTATTGAGTATTTTTTAATCTTAAATACTAACGTAAAAGTACTTAAGTACTATCTAATTATTCTGTTTTAGTATATAATATACAGAAAATAAAAAAAGTAGGTACAATCAAGAAAAATTATTTTGCTAAAATTTTTATCTAAATATTATATTACTTAAACTTAATTACAATTTGTCATGCCAGTTTTTCCTATGAAAATAATTATTTAAATTATTAAATTATTATTAATGACAGTTTAAATTTTGTATTGTTTTTAGTTAAAAAGAAATTTTACCCTATTTCAAATTACATTAGTTTATTTATATAAATTGCTAATTATTTATTTAAAAATATATTCTTTAGCAATAGTCAGAATCAATACATTTTTAACACTGTTATGTGAGTACTTTTCAATATTTAAACATTTTTATATTAGTGTCACTTGTAAATAATATGATTATTCTTTAAGTTCAACTATCTACTATTGTGTTATGAAATTTAGTCATGGTGGAGATAGAAATCAAAGATTGGCTTTCGGAAATTGCCACTTTGGAAAAAGATGATTGGGCTACATTTGCTGTTTCAACAACTCAGAATAAGATACTTATAGAATCTATTTATGCTGTACTTGATGAAATTAAAAAATATTCAAAGGTTTATTTTATTTTAATTAAATTTGGAATATATGTAAAAATATATATATAAATATATTTTTTTGAATTTTTAGTCAATTAATTTGTTAATAAAAAAATTAGTAAATATTTCTGCAACTGAGAGAGATAACGATCAAATTCTACTTTTTATAAAAATGAGATTTTGTTACCATCGTATTTAGAATTTTATCATGCATATTATTTTTCATTATGATCTAAGTACAAAGGCTAATATTTTAGAAGTTATATGTCAAAAACGTAACACTATATTCACAGTTTATGAAATTTAACTAATAAAACACAAGTTTTATAACTAATCTAATACTGATATATCATAATAACTAAACAAAAAAATAATAATGGAAGAGTAAATAGATTAAATTAATTTTCTTTGATAAAATAATTTTGATTTTTTACTTTTCAAAAATTAATAAAATGAACTTTTATTATAAATGTCTTTTGATATGACTGTTATGTCTATCAGGTACAGATTTACTTAAAAAAAAAAGAAGTATATTTTTCTTTGTTTCCCTTTTTGCAATAATAATATTTAAAATTTTATCTAAAACTACAAAAAAAATATTATGTTTTATTATGTAACAAATGATGCTTAATTTGTTTAATTTTTCGTTTAGATTACTTTGATTCCATTTAAATTATTTTCAATAAAATATGTGTTAAATATAAAAAATATATATTAGTATATATGTATCTTTATATTTATAAAAATATAAAAATGAACAAAAAACTTGATCTTTATTTAAACTTGGCTCATGAGTTGAGGAAATTGTTTTAAAATCAAGTTTCTATAGTTTTTTTAAGGACAAATATAAAACTAAAAATCTGGACTACTCTAATATATATATAAAGTTCTAGGGTTTAGGTTTGTTTACTTTTTAAATTACTCTTGTCAAATAGTAAATAAGATATTACTATTAATAACATTATATATAGACAAATGTAAAAAATTGATGCTATAATTTTGTTATCAAAGTTATATTTTAATAATTTAAAATATTTTACACAGTTGGTTGATCGTATTTGTGGTGCCTTATTCAACTGTTATAAAACTGAAGAAACTGACCTTCACTTATTTGTTTTATTATTTTTACCACATTTAACATATAATTACCTGAACTCACTTACACATGTTGACAAATTGGTTAGTAATAATATTTTTAAATTCATTGTCACTAATTTCTTATCACTCATGAAAACTATTTTTCAGAGTTGTAGAAGTATAGAAGCTTTATTAATTGGCATTTACAATTTAGAAATTGTGGATGAAAATAATACACCAAGAGTTATATCATTCCGTTTACCATCATTGGCCCAACCATCTATATATCATGAGGTATTTTAATAATAAATATTTTTGTTAGAAATATATTATTAGTTGAATTAATATTGTATCTTTTTATAGCACATTTATGTATTTTCCTTATTACCTCATCATAGGAGTATATTTCATAATCTATTTAACTTCGGGGTATATATTTATTCGATAACTATGAAAAAAGATAATAACGCTAATTAATGAGGCATAATCTTGAATGACTAACAGTGCATACCATTTCTTTTAATTTTTTTATTGAAATAAAATGAAATTTCATTTTTTATTATAGCTATCAAATTGTCATTATTGTTTAAAAGTCATTTAATGATTTAATTTTGTGAAATGCCTAAAAAAATAAAAACTCTTGTATAAAAGAGTAAAAAATGGGAAATTTTATATTGTTTAATTGTTAAATCACATATAAATCAAACATTTTTTAACCTTAAATTACTTTTACATAATATAAAAAATGAATTAATAAGTGATCACTTGTTTGCTTTTTGTACAACATTGTGATTAAATGTAATAGTTATTTAAAAAATGAAGAAGGAAAAATATTTATAATATTAAAGCTATATGGTATTTAAATTAGATAAAAATTGATAATATTTAATATATATCATAATATTTAACTATTATTCAATAACCAATAATATAATTATTTCCAACTTGCACCACAATTGTGCTAAATACTGATTTTTATTGTAAATAACTTTTGTTTAGCCTAGTAGTTTGGCTCCGACTTCATTAACTGAAACAGCAATTCGACGTTTAGAACAAAGAGATACACATCCTGTTCGTCGTGGACCATTTAATCAGATTGAAAAGCTTTCAGCATCAAATAGGATGGAAGTTCTTAGTCACTTATACTTCATTTATTACAAAAATATAAATCTTTTACCTGAAGTTTATAGTCCATTTGATCGTTTTTATAAAATTACAATCAAGTACATAAACAATTATTTGTATTTGATAAATTTCTACAGATAAGTATATGAATTCTCTAACACTATTTATTTATTTTTTATAAGAATGCTTACTCAAGGTTTTCATCAGATACATTCAACTTCATTTGACAGTGCAGACATTTTACCTTCAGCAGACTCAAGAATACACTTGTCTCCCAAGTTTTTAATTCATTTACTTTATTGTTTATACATTTCAATGTAATTATAATTTATAGCAATATATATAAATATACAGGGGTCCCACTATGCTTTGACAACTTTTTGTAATAACAAATATATTCCATTACTTTATAAAAAAAATAATTTTTACAATTTGGAACTATTAGACAAAAATAGCATAGTTTTTATCATTTATTATTAATTATAAAAGATATAAAATTATATTAACGTTTTTTTAAAATTAAAATAACCATTTAATTAAATTTAAAAGCTTTTATTTAACTTGACATTCTTGTCATTTGTCAGTCTTCCATTATGCTACAAATCTTTGAACTAAATTTTGACCCACTTCAGGTTCACAGAACAATATAAATATTTAAAATTTGTTTTTTAAAACATGTTACTTACAGAACATCCATATATTATTTTATATTATATTATAGAGTGTTCAGTAAGTAAGAAATGGGTTTCTATGGTTTTCATTGTCTGTAGTAATTAATCTATTTCTTTACTTGTTTAATACCTGTATAATTATACTTATACGTTTATTGTATAGAATAACCTTAGAGTATCTGTGCATCCTTCATTGTATTGTTGTTCTTTGCTCTCATAATCCAGGTTATTATGGGAGTCTAAAAAGGACAAAATAAAATAATATAAAAAATTTAAAAACAAAAAAAGCTTTTATAAAATACAGTCATGTAAAAAGTTATAGTAAGCTTAAAACAAATAATTAAATTTTGCTTTGACACGCACCAATGATAAAATACAGTAACTACATTTAATTAAAAAATATTCATCAGCATAGATTTTAGCTCTCATTAAAAAATCTAGAAAAATCTAATGTATTGTTTAAAAAAAATATGTAAAAAAGAGGAAATGTACCACTATCCTAGGTTTAAAATAAGTGTATTTTAAGTATAAAGTTTTAAGAATTAAAAATATTATAATATTATATTTAATTATAATATGTTAATTTTCTTTTTAAAGATTCAACTGTGCAAAAGCAGAAGCAATACAAGCCCTGGACAATGTTTATTATCGAGCATGTTATCACTGCTATTGTGAAGTGATACTATTAGCAAATGCTATAAAAAATTCTTGTGAAGGATATTTTGACGGTAATACTTATTAATCATACTTATAGGAAATATTGTTTGTAATATTTTATTGATTTAATAGTTTAACCATTGATTGTTCATTGCTGAGCAAATGATAAATTTTTAATTTTTTGACCCTTGGAACATTTTTATTCTTCAATTATATAATTTTTAAAATCAAATTAAGACATAAAAAATGTGAAAAATTCTTTTTTAGACCATCTTTTAGCTTTGATACGAAGCTGAAAAGATATTAATTTTATTATGTGTTTTTTTTTAATACTAAATTGGAGTTCATTTAATTAAACTCTCAGATTGTATTATTTTTTTTTTAAAAAGGTGGTCAATCACTCAATGTTTCATCTGTGGGAACACCTGTAAACAATAGCTCATGTAGTACTCCAGTATCAAAATCAATGATTACAAATGCATCATTCAGGACAAAAAAATTACCAGGTAATAATGTACATTATTATAAAAATCTTTTAAATATTTAAAAAAAAACAATTCGTTAAGTTTTTTAATTATTACAATGTATTTTTGAGATCGTAAGCTATAATTTTAAAATTTATTCCTAAAAATTATATTGGATGAGTCTACTATCATGAACCACTTTATTTATCATATATATTTTACACTTTATTATTATTAAATATTTTTTGGGGGTTTATCATGGATATCTTATAATGGTATTAAATTCTTCTTCTTCTTTTTCTTTGTCTTAATCCCAATTACTTGAATTCAACCACCCTTATCCTAAACTTCCACTTGACAAGATCTCCCACATTCTCTACGCTTACATCAGCTGTCCTCATATCGCATTCAATAATATCTCTCCATCTCTTTTTTGGTCTTCCTCTACCTCTTCTTCCTTCAACATTAATTTCTATAACTGTTCCTACAACTTCCAATTCTTCTCTCCTCATAACATGACTAAACCATCTAAGTCTATTATCTCTCATCTTATCCACGATTGACACTACACCTATACTTTCTCTTATATGCTCGTTCCTTATCCTATCTTCTCTAGTCACTACACTCATCCAACTAAGCATTCTCATCTCTGCTCTATTTTCTTATCAACCGCCCAACACTATGAACCATACATCATAGCTAGTCTCACTATAGTATTATAGAATTTACTTTTCAGCCTCATTGGAATTCTTTTATCCCATAAGACACCAGACGCTTCTCTCCACTTCAACCACCTGCACTTAATCCTGTGTCTTACATTCTCGTCAATACCATCGCTCTTTTGTACAACTGATCCTAAATACTTAACATTTTCCACCTCTTTAATCACGTCCTTGCCTATAGTCACTGGTCTCCTTATTTTACCTATGTCATGTTCTCCTTCATCAAACTCGTACTCTATATACTCTGTCTTACTTCTACTTATTCTTAAACCATTTTCTTTAAGAGTTGATCTCCACACCTCTAGCCTTTGATTAATTTCCTCACTATTTTCTCCTATTAACACTATATCGTCAGCAAACAACATGCACCACGTCACTTCTCCTTGTATTTTTCTAGTAATTTCATCCATCACTATAGAAAATAAGTAAGGGCTTAAAGCAGAACCCTGATGCACTCCTATTCGAATACCTTCCGTTACTCCTCCCACACTTTTGACCCTGGTACAAGTGCCATCATACATATCCTCTATTATATTAATGTACCTTTTCGGGACTCCTTTTCTCATTAATACCCACTTTAGAACCTCTCTCGGTACTCTTTCATACGCTTTCTCCAAATCTATGAATACCATACAAAGCTTTTTCTTCTTTTTCCTAAACTTTTCTATTAGTTGCCTCACACAAAATAATGGCTCCATTGTTGAATTACCAGGCATAAACCCAAACTAGTTTTTATATACCAATGTCTCATTTCTTATTCTCTTATCTATTACCTTTTCCCAAATTTTCATACTATGACTCATAAGCTTTATGCCTCTATAATTTCCACACTCCTGTATGTCACCTTTACCTTTAAATATTGGCACCACAATACTATTCCTTCATTCATTTGGAATTTTCCCTTCTAATAAATTTTTATTTAAAAGTTCCGTCAACCACCTAATATTTTCCATACTTCTACTGGCACTTCACTGTACACTACAGTACAATGGTACTACTGCTTTATTCTTTTTCATTGATGCCACAGCCTCCCATACCTCTTTCTCATTAATAAAATCTACCAGTCCCTCATTCCACGAGGTATCTTCTAACGTCTCTTTTGGGTACTCCTCATTCAGTAATTTTTCAAAATATTCTTTCCACCTTTTTTTCACATCATCATCACTCGAGAGTACCCAAGCATATTTAATAATTTTACTACACTAACATTTCTCAAAGTAATATTAAATAATTTAGTCATAGGTACAAATATGGGATCACTTAGCAGATTTCACCATTCTTATAAAAATTTTATAAGGAAAAAAAAAGATGCTTTATATTTTTTTATAAATAATTTTTATTTTCAAAATCTTGTCTTTTAATATTGTGAGTGTGTAATATCATCGGTGTAGTATGTGTAATTTATTTAAAACAGTAATATATTTTGTTTCAACAATAATAGTTAAAATACTACAGAAGTAGAAAAAAATGTATGTGTACAATGTTATACATAATTGTTTCTTTATAAATAAATAAGAAAAATGTTAGATATACCATTTTGAGCAGAGTAAGAAGAAAAATTTTTTATTCTTTGAAACTTAAGCACCCTCCAGTTTAAAACGCTATTTGTACCTATGAATTAAAAAATCATTTAATTTAAACAAAATGTTTGTTAAACACTAAGAAAAATATGATGAGTTCTCTTGAATTCCCTCTCACTTTAATTCCTGCTTATTCATAAAAAATAACTGTATAACTCATATTTTCTTAGATGATATTCCTATACAAAATAGTCATGGTACAGTTAACGAAAGTTTTGATGCTGGATCTAATTTAACCTCAATAGTAGAAGAAACTGATGGAAAAGATTTAATTGTGGATTCTGTTCCAATTAAAAGAAGTTTACCAAAAATAGCTGCGAATTTTGGTAAGAAAACTGCTGAAAAAATAGCTATTGCAGTGAAAAGCTCTTCAAATACAAAAGTGTCAAAACTCTGTTCACAAAATGGATCAGATATTTATGAAACAGATGAAAGTGGAATAGATTTAACTGGATCTGATATATCAGATTCAAAAGCTGGTGTTGGTCACGAGGAAAAAGGAACACTTACCCCTTTGTTGAGTAAGAGAAATCCTAGCATTGACATTGAAACTGCTAGATCCATTCAGGTAAATTTAAAGACATTTTTTATATTTAAATCATCACTTGAAAACATTTTGAAAAATAAATGTTTTTAAATACTTTCTAATATGACTTTAATAATAAGTTACATTTTAAATTATGTTACAATATAATAAATAGGCATATTGTGATTATAGTTAATTTAGTATTTTATAGCTAGTATTGTATTAAAAAAATTAACTTTCAGAGAGATAATAATAATTATGATAATTTAAAACCTATAAATCCTATAAAGGATGCCAGAGAATTGGAATATATAAATTATATGTTTAATTTATAAAAAGGGAGATGCAATGGACTGTGGTAATTATAGGGGAATATCCTTGCTATGTACAACTTATAAAATTCTCTCTATCATTATCTTAACTGCTCACGACCATATGCAGTAGATATTATAGGAGAATACCAAAGTGGGTCTTAATGGAAAGATCATATATTGACGCTCAAGCAACTTACAGAGAAATATTATGAATTCAATAAGAAATTGTATTTACTATTTGTGGATTTTAGACTAGCATATGATTCGATTAAAAGAGAAGCATTATGGAAACATCTAGAACTATTCGGTATATCAGCCAAATTAAGAGCAATAATCCAAATGTGTATAGAAACAGCAAGATGCAAAGTAAGATTTGGACAAACACACTCTGAAGAGTTTAAAACTACAGTTAGACTAAAACAGTGTGATGCACTCTCTTATACTCTTTAACATCGCACTGGAGGTAGTAGCTCGAAGCATACATAATAAATATAAAGGAATTGATATCGGAAAATCTGTATTAATATTAGTGTATGATTATTGTATTATCCAATATTGATGATATTGTAGTACTTGGAGAAACTGAAGACTATATAAAACTAGCAACAGAGGAATTAATACGAAGTGCCAAAACATTTATGATTTAAAATAAATGAAAACCAAGTATACATGTATAACAAGAAAACAACCACAAATACATCAGACAAGAAATATACAGATAGTACAGATTGTAGAGTTTAAATTTGAAAAAGTACATAGTTTTAAATATCTTGGTACAGAACTAAACAGCCAAAACAACAATCACAAAGATATTAAGAAACATGTTCTAGCAGGTAACAGAGATGTATACATGTACTATCTAAATGCCTGCACTCAAAGCTACTATCAATAAAATCTAAAATGAGACTATACAAAATCATAACGTATGCATGTGAGACATGGCCAACAACATTAGAAAATGAGAGAATATTGGCTATAGCAGAAAGAAAGTTTCTAAGGAAGATATGAGGACCTAAAATAAATAATGTAACTCAAAGATATGAAATAAGGTCAAACGAAGAAGTATATAATGCCTTTGGAGAACCAAATATAATTGGGGTAGTTAGAGCCAAAAAACTAAGTTGGCTAGGTCACAAACTAAGGTCTAATATGATTGAAAAGGAGGACCTAAGTTGGAAGCCACAAGGAAAGAGACCCTTAGGTAGACCTAAACAACGATGGCTTAATAAAGTCTCAAAGGATCTAACAACGCTAGGAGTTGAAAACTACAGGGAAGTAGCAATGGATAGAGAGAGATGGAAGGAATTGTGTGTTGCAATGGTACTTGACGGTCTTTAAAGCTGAAGAAAAAGAAAGAAAACCTATCTAGCTTAACCAATTTTGAATATTTTCAGAAATGTATGTGTCTTGATTACATTTTATGTTGGGTATAATTTCTGTTTAGGTCCATAGTGTATGATCAGACTTAATGTTAAAAAAAAAAGTATATTTTCTTTTAATTATATGGAACAGTTATAAAAAAAAAAATTTAACACTACTAATTAAATAAATTTATCATATAAGAATTTCTAATCTACATATGATTAAATTTATGTATTATTGATTCAATAAATGCTATAAGTTAAGAATTTTTTAATTACACAATTTTCAGATGAATGTTAACACTAAGTGTTACAAAGAACGATTCTATTAGTTTATTTCTAAATCTTCTCCAATATTCATATATTCATGGTAATTTTAATAAATATTTAAAAAAAAAATTTTTTTCTTAAGTTATTGTAGTAATGAATTACTTGGCTTTTTAAAAGTAAAATTTTGAAAAAATAAAAATTTATTTTAAATTATTTATTTTAATACTGCATTATTATATACTATAAGGATCAAAGGCGTTTTCAGGGTTTCATCTTGGAAAGAGATATTAATATAGACATTTTTTTATTATCCCCTCCACAATTCATCTTTGTCATGTTTTTTTTTTATTATAAAGTTCTATCCTCTCGTGAGAACGCCCATGATTAGATTATTTTACTTTTTATGTAACTTTATTTTTTTAATTGCCTCATTTTATTACTACAAATTTTTACTTATATTTAATTTTTCATTGGTTTATCAAATTTCGTGAAATGTTGCTTTTTATTTTTGCTTTTTTCTTAGTATTTTAATTTGCAATATTTTTCAGTTTTTTTGTAGTTACAGCCTTTTTGTTTTATAAAATATCTCACAAATTGATAAAATTTCTATTTTATAAACTAAGCTTACTTATTGTAATTAGTTAAATTTTGTGTAATTTTAAAGAAAATTTTATACAAATTTACTGTATATTAGTTACTACTAAATGATATGCCTGCTATTTATAGAATATATCCATTTATTTTAATATTAACAATATTTACTAAGTCATTTACTTTTACAGATTGAGAGTACTGCATTTTAATTCGGATACAACTTATTACATTTAATGGTCTATAGATAATATATAGTATTCTGGTGGTTTGTGGTGTTCTGCCTGAAACGTATCAAATTTTTGTAGAACTAGTATTCCATTGTGATAATTATGTAAATTTAATTTTAATATTGTACTTAATTATAATCTTCCTGTTAAAACTGTTATTTAATTTTACGGTATACATTTTATTACATCATTAAAGTATTATCTTTTTATCTTAATAAAAATTGAATTGGATTATGCTTAATATATGTCGTCACTGAGGGAGAATTGAGTTACAATACGAAATATTCACCATTTCCACAAAAAAAAGTTGGTTTAATTTAATAAATATTTTAGCATAGAGAAACTATTTATTTTACCATTCCTTATCTCACTATAGTCTGCTACACAAGAAAAGCACAAACTTATATTTCCAACTACTTTTAGGATAACTTTTTTTTACATATTTTTTTCAACACTGTACTATTTAATTCTTAAAATATTATTTTATTATTGATATATTACTTGCATTTAAGACCAATTGACTACAGATTGATGAATTATTATCATTTATTTATTTATTAATAATAAAAATAGACTTAATATAAAGATCTTAACGCGATCTTATCATATTATTTTAAATGAATCATACATACACTAAAATGTAAAAAAATACAGATGGTTATCATGTTAACACTAATAATAGAAAATACATAAGTTTTTTAAAATGGAGAACCCGTAATATAAAAATTTATCCTAACAATATTTCAACAAAATTAAAAAAAAATTAATATATTTAGTACATATACATTAAAAAAAAAACTAATTTTAATAAAAATTGTAAATAAATAATGAGAGAATTGATATTAGATCCAATTAAAATAAAATCCAATCATTACTACTACTATAACTACAATTGAAAATATGTAGGCATTTAAACATTAATAAAATAAAAGTATAAAAGTTAATATTTTACTGAATCATTAAACATTTTGGGTGAAATTCATATTATTCAAATCATTACAATAGTAGTAGCATCAGGTATATTACAAAAAATTGCATTAAAAAAATGGTATATTTTAACTTATTAATTAAAAAAATTTATTATTTCTTAAATAAATTAATATTGTTTAATTTCAAACTTTACAAATAATAAAGTATTTTTTATTCACTATACCAACAACCTTTAATAAGATATGTAAAATTAATTCAGGTTTTTTTTTTTTTGTAAACCTTACTTCATACATTTAATAACTAATGTAAAGATATTAATAGACACACAAAAAAAATCACTAAACTTAAATATCTTTTCTATCAAAAGTAAAAGGAACCATTTAAAATTAGAATACAATTTTGATGATAATCAGTGAGTGGAAACAATTTATTTTAACTATTTTCAATAAATTAAGGTAATTTGTAGTTTTTCAGTAATATAATTAGAAAAAGATGATTTTTTTATTTTTAAAAATAAAAATAAAATAAATAAGTAAGATATTTAGAATCAAACAAAAATATCAATAAATACAAAAATAAAAAATATGAGGACTACATGGGTCATTTCTTAATAAAAAAAATAAGACTAACTATTACAAATCCTTTTAATTTAAAACATGAAATAAATTGTCATAGGATGAGATGAAGCTATAGAATTATAATATTCAATGAAAACTTTTCTTTCAAAACACTATGAATAGTTTTGCAATAAACTCATTACATTAAACAACAAGATCGCTGTTGGTTTTCAATTGCAGCATTGTTTGAAATTTGCAATGATTGATTTTTATTTTCAGTATTAATAACATTTTTTTCAACAGATTTTGATTTATCACTATTGTTCTTTAATTCGTCAGATTTTAAATGATTACTATTGAATTCTGTTTTAGACACTTCACTAACTTCTTCATCAACAATATCTGCTTTAGAAGTATCTATCTGATTACCATTAACCAGTAAACCAGTTGTAATTTTATTAAATGGATATTTCATTATGTTCCATAACTTAAATACTTTGCTTGGTACTTGATCTTTTCCAGGTGATTCTGCACATTTTCTTTTCTTTTCATTACCTAGTAAAACACTTTTATCAACAGAGCCAAAATCTTCCTCTAAGGTTGTATCCAATTCTAAATTTGAATGCAATGGTGCTCGTGATGATATGTTAAAATATGAGCCAGGTGATTTCACATTATTGAAATCAAAATCGTCTTCTAAATCATTTGAGTATTCATTATCATCCAATGATGTATTTGGTGAATATGGAATGTCATCTGGGCTTTTCATAACATTTATCTAAAAAATTATTATGCACTCTATTAATAATTCTTTATTTTATTAAGATATACTAAAATAATAATAAAATTCAATAATCTTTGTCAATTTCTATTATTATAAACAAAATAATTACAATTTTTAGATTTCTGTAATGATGGATAACTCTTGACCCCCTTTTTTTAAGATTAAACTCATTAATAGCAATAAAATAAACTTATTTTTATTTGCTGAAAAGTATAACCAACCATGTGAACTAAAATTAAGGTTAGATTTTAGTATCTATAGTTATTACATACTCTATAATAACTTAATACAAATTATATAATAGTATATAACTTAGTTTTATACTGATGACTAGGTTTAAAATTATATTTTTTTATGGGCTATTTACCTCTAAGACAATATTATAACTATTACACAAGACCTAAAAATATAAAATACTCATAACTTAATCTCACCTGATTTTCACTGTTTTTAATATCAGCTTCATTTGAATTTTCATTTGACACATCAATATTTTCTGATTCTCTATCTTCCTGCGTACAAATAGAATCTATAGTTATATTACGGTCAGTATCACTATCCATCTCAAGATTTGGTTCTAATGATGAAGTATTGTCAACATCATAACTCAAACTATCAGTTTTTTGATGATTCCCATTAATTTCTTTGGATTTTTTATGTTTTAACTTTTCACAGTCAATGCTATCAGCCTTTTTGGATACCACTTTTTTTAATGTTAACAAATCATCTCCATTATTAATGAACAAACAACGTGTATCTTTTCCATTAACAACCGCTTCAGTCATTTTTAATATCTAAACACATGAAAATTTGTTTAAAAATAATTGTTTTATAAAATTTATTTCATTTTATTAAATTTATAAAAAAATATATAATCCCTTGTCCTAGTTCAAAGTCTCACTAGCAAAATTTTTAAAACTGGAATCAAATCTAACTTGTTACGAATAAAAATCTTTTTTTCTATGTTGATATGATATATTAATAATGGATACTTAATGTTATCAACTTTGCATAGAACACTATAAATCAATTTTGATTTCAAAATATAGTTTGATGTCAAACTATACAGAAAATGACAACATTGATTTTAAACATAATGTAAAGTTCAGTTAAACGAACTCGTATACTATTTTCAATTTAAAACTCTACATACTTAATACTGGTATATATTTCAATGTTATTTATGGCTATACAAAAGTAGCTAAGATAATTTAAAACCAAACTTCTTTAACTTAAATTTGTTTATAGTGATGTGTTATTTTATGAATTATAATACAAAACAGTAGAATTTTACAACTTGACTTAAGTAGACGAATTGATAAGTTAACCCTGCTTGTTATATGAGCATAATTAAAGAAAATGATAAGTAAAACTTCTTAACTATATACAGCAAAACATTTATATTTATAATAGGAGAATTCTAACATCCTTAATTACACCTATGTAGTAGTTAAAAATAGGGGGACATTGTGCTTTTTAGGTACCTTATATTAAAACGTACGAGTATAAAATTTTATCATTACTAAATTTAGCATAGTAGGGGCCTCATACATATTTTAACCCAAGGATAACAATAAGATTCAATCTAGACTAATGCCTATGTTTGATTAAGAACTAAACTTTTTGTCATATGCAGCAAAAAATTATTAAATAAAATTTTTTAATACATTCTTAACACATGGAAAATTGTGATTTAAATATTCATTAATTAGATTAATATGATTTTTAAGTTTTCAAATTGATTTGATTAATAGAAAATAAATATTAACCCTAAATATATCCTTGAACATATAATTTTATTACAAAAAAATAATTTTTGAATCTAGCAACAAAAACATTTATTTTGAGCAGATTTTTTCTTTCTAAGTTAATATACAACGTGATTAATTAACTATGCATCACACAAAGAATTATAAAACATATTATAATTTTTTTTTTTCAGAATTTAATGGTATTCTATGTTCTATAATTTTCAAAAAAGAAGTTTGTTCTCTCCCCTTTAAAGTAGTACAACTTGAGTTTTTTAAATAGAAACATACATATATAGTTAGCTTAAAAAAATAAGAAAATGATCTAATTGAGAAAATGACTGGTCGATAACAAATTTTTAATTAGTATTTTGAAATATATTAGCACAGTATACTAGGGTGGGAGTAGTATAATTTATATAAGTACACAAATAAAAATAAACAGACATGCTTTGATCATGACGTAATAGTAAAAATTATGTTTTATATTTTTAACGATTTTATGAGAGGCTTAGTTAATCAATTAAAGTTGAACTTTGTATATGAATATATTGTTAATTAAAGTATTTTACCATATTACTTTTTCATAATATATTTTTAAAAATAAAATTCAAATATTACAAAAAAAGTTTATGAAGTCTTATATTATGCTAAGCAATTGAATGTAGTTTTTATTAAAAAAAAACGGCTGATAATAATTAGTACTCTAATTTGTTTTGCATAATATATTTTTATTTCTAATTTGGTTTAACAATAACCTATTATATTAAGAAATGAAGTCATCATTATAAATGTAAAACATATATAACAACACTAAAAATATAAACAAAAAGTATTTGAATATTATAATGAAAAAAAAATAAAAAATTAGTTCATTAAGTTTTGCTCATTATTATCGTCTTCATAATCTTCGAATTCATCATCCTCATTATAATAGTAATCTTCACCTTCTTCATCACTATTTACTTCATTAGTACTATGTAATGGTTGAACATGAGTAATGGCGTTATAAACAGCTGTTAAACATTCAGCATTATCAGGCACTAATTTAATTTTAGACTTCATTAATTCTTCTTCATCATCATTATTATAAGTATCATCGTCTTCTACAATTTCATTTAATGCTTCATCAGAACTATTACTATCATCTGCATTTTCTTCAGTATTGGAACCACCATTTTGTCTGAAATAGCCATTAGTATTACTATTTTCAGGTTTGTAAGTGAAATCAGTAATTATTTGTAAACAAGGCTTTTCGTGTACTGTAGGATGATTGCATGTGCCAAATACACACATAGATTTGTAATCAATACTAACTATTTGATTATCCCTATTATTTTTCCAGTAAAGTTTACTATCAGCAACATAAAGTATTCCTTTGCCAAATGATATTTCATCAACTATAAAATATGTATCAGGTTCGCAATGTTGTATAACTTCATCTTCCTCATTAAAACTAGCATTAATATCCATGTTTATTTATTTGATGTTATACTTCAATTATTATTCACGTAAAATTTAGAATATAGATATTGTCTTGAAACTGAAAAACACAAACAAACACCTAAGCCTAAGTAAAATAATTTAATAGAAACAATACCAAAGCTGCTTGCAAAATCAATAAATGACACACAACAATTAAATAATTTTATAAAATAAAACGTTTTAATGAAAAATTATTTAAAATAAAAGCCGTATTAATAATATAAAATAAAATTATTAAAAATCTATAAAACTTGTGCCTAATATTATTTTAAATAAATATTATTAAAACTATATATTAAAAAAAATTGTAATTGCTACAAAATTAATATACTTAAGATCTAAGACAAAAGTAATACTAAAATAAATGTACTTTCTATATATGTAAATGTCGTAATTTTAAAATTATCATACTACTTTATTCAATGTTTTAAATATTGAAATAGAAAATATTATTTTGATTCTATAATAAATCACAACAAAGTTTTACTTTAATTATTATTTTTAATAATTCTTGATAAAAAAAAAGTGTAGAAATTTCACTGTTTAGTAGTTGTAATGTGTTGTTGATGTCAATTATACAATTATTTTTATATATATTGAGTAGACACTGTTCACAACATTAACAAAATAAAAATGTATCTATAAAAAAAATTAAAAAATATACTAAGATACAATTTAATAATTAACCTGGATGATTGAAAAAAGTTTAGTCCTCATCATTATTTTAATTATAATAATATTATTTTATTGCTTACACTGCATTATTAAGATTTGAAAATGGATGAAAAAAAATATATAGAGTGTTCAGAAACAAGGAAACAGGTCAATTTTTATAAAAACCCAGCACAGGGGGGTCAGCACATTGGTGATGTGGCATAATTGGATCAAGTATAATGATATCAGACAGTGATTAAAATCACTATAAAAAAAAAACGCTTCGATGCAAATCCTTAGATAATGTTTAATTTTAAAAAATTAGTGGATTATTCCAAAAACTACATGATCTGCTAGTTCCTTATTAATATCCTGATTAAGATAAAGTATGTCGAATGAAAAAGGGATATAAATATTATTTCTCAAAAAAAAAATTATATTTGCAATAAGTTATAGCATTATAAAGTTAAAAATGTAAAAAATAAAGTCTGAAATTGTTTTTTTTTTCATAATAAAGTATACTACGTTATCTTTAATTTAAGATATATATAAAAGTGTCAGACTTTCCGGAAAACTTTCAAAAGTTAAGTTGAAAAAGTTCTACTTTCTATATGCATTTTTTAGATTTGAACCCCTCTCGTATATAGGGAATTGGTCCGGTTTAAAAAAACATTATGTCGAATGAAAGATGTATATAAATACTACTTCTCAAAAAAAAATTGTAATGATCTATACATTTTTCAAAAAGTTATAGCATAATAAAGTTAAAAATGTAAAATACAAAATCGAGAATTTTCACACAATATTAGCATTTGGTAGTCATTTTAACCATGAAGACAAAATAAAGACCGAAATTTTTTTTTTCATGATAAAGTATATTACATTAGCTTTAATTTAAGATATATATAAAAGTGTCAGACCTCCCGGAACATTTTCAAAAGTCAAGTTGAAAAAATTAATTTTTTGTGAAAAAGTTGTCATTTTAAATCCCCCCTGTGGGCAGGTAAAGAGTCAGATTTATAAAAAAAATATACCAAATGATAAATAAAGACATCAAGCATCTGTAAAAAAAAAAGTTATTTTGATTTGCTTATTTTTTTAAAAAGTTATGGCAGTTTTAAGTAAAAAAATTGAAAATTTTTTTGAAAATTAGCGATTTTTAAATTTGTAATTTTTTTTGGAGGTTTCCCTCATTTACAGGGAACGAGGGAATTTTTTTCAATTTTTGAGGGTAATGTCTTCGACTAGATACGATTTGTGATCTTATGACGTATCATTGAAAAAAATCGGTCCAGCGANAAAAAAAAACACATCTTAGTAAAACCAATACTTTCTCAGCTTCGCATAGAAGCTAAAAAGTTTACCCATTCAGTAGCATTAATTACTATAATATGTATACATGTGATATAAAATTATTATCATTATATAAATATTTTAAATTATTACTATATATAAAATTTAAAATTTTTAATTTTTTGAATTTATGACAATCTTTTACCCTAAGTAACAAATACTATATTATTTTCAATACGAAAAAGGGGTTTATAACAATAAGTGAAAATTTTAAGTAATTTATGTTGAATAGAAATTATAATTTTTAATATTCTTTCTATAGGGAAACTATATTTTTTTTAATATTAAATAATTCAATTTTTAATGGCCAATATCAATAAAATTTATTAATTTATAAATTACATTTATACTATACATTAATTATAGTATTGATGAGTTATTCATGTTTAATTTTTATTGGAAATATTGTTTAAAATGATTTTAAATGTAAATATTCAATAATGATAAATCTTAAAATCCTTTAATATTTTATGTTTCAACATTAAGTATTGAAGGTATTAATTTTACCACAATATAGTTATTTATTTTTAACTCTATTCAGTATTTTTGTTAAAAGTTAACCAATTTGTCCTTTTGAATAAATTAACAGATAAAAAACTGTACTCATAAAAAAGGTAAAATTGTTTTATTATACGATAGATTGAGAATATGATTTCTTTTAGTTGCATATATTTCTCGAGTTATCAACTAATAATTACTTTAATTTAATGACTAGTGGTGTGAAGTAGGTGTATTTATATCAATCAATAGTCATTTCCCAATTACACATTGCCTCTGGCATAGATATAAAAGTGAGATTAACTTCCAAAATACTGGACCAATAATTATTATTGGCCAATCATTTTCTTAATAAAATTATTTTCTATTTTAAAAGCTAGTAAAATATATATATGTAGCCACTTAAAAAAATAAAACTGACTTTAAGGAATGATTTTAAAAATAATTATTAGATGATCACTCAAGAAATATATGCAACTAAAAAAAATCAAAAATATTTTTTTTCGAATACAGTATTTATTTTGCGAGTAATCGAGTGGTTAAAGATAAACCTATATAACAAGATTAAATGCTAACCTCTACTAATAAAGATATCTGTAGATATTAGTGAAAATTTTACTTAGTTTATTTATTAACCCAATAATCTGCAGAATAAAATTTGATAATAATTTTAAATATTCATAGCATCATCCATCTTGAAAAAAATATAAAAAGTTTTTTTATTTTGATAATACTTGATTAATAGAAAACATAAATAATGCTGATTAAATACAGGTTAATGTTTGGAGAATTAAATTGTTGAATTAAATGTTATAACAATTGAGAATTTTTCATTATTGTTTCAATACAATTATTTTTTATTTAACACTATATTAAAAAAATTTGTAGTAAAATAACTACCATTAATGAGTAGCATCAAAAATCTAATTATAAATAGTAAGATACTATGAATATACGTATCTTCGTTTAAATAAATTTATAATTATTACTGTAATCGCTGTCGTCATAATTATAAAGGGATGGTATTGTGCACGAGTTAATTAAATATCAACTTACTAGTTAGTAATCTTCTTAGAGTGTAGGAAACGCTTATCAAAAAATAAACACTATGTATTTTAATATATTTTTTATAATTTTTAGAGATTACGGAATTCTAACTATTCAAAGTAACAACGTAGCACACGCGGTACGATAGACAACGACCAAACACCGGAATCTACGTTAATGAACATATAAATGATTACTATCTAGATAATAAAACTGGTGGGGGGGGTCATATTCAAGTTCACTACCCTGCCAATACATCTTTTAAATATCGGTCTTCGGAGTTCTTCGGATACTAACACACAAGATTGCAACACACATTCAACTATTTTTACTTGACTCTCAGATGAAAAGATGAATTTTTTTTAAGCCGACATCAAATAGTTGGTATTACCAACTTGGTATTTGTAGCCACTGTTGTGACTATTTTTTAAGACATTTGCACCGCTTCCTTGCTTCTTCGTGTACAACAGTGTGACCGTTAATAAAGGATAATAAAATTAAGTGTATCATTTAATACAGTTAATATCAATAATGATAGGTTGGGTTTGATCCAACCATGATCCAGATATCTTCTCCAAATGCTTAACCGTGGTAATAAACAATATGTATTATTTAAATAACATTCAATATATCTTAATAAAATAAAAAATATTAATAAGATAAATTTATAAGTAAGAAATATAAAAGTACTACTTACTAACAATCAGTACTAATTTGGCTCTATAGATAATATATATATATATATATTAAGTCTTATTATTACTATTCTTAATAAGTAAAAAAAATAATTACAAAATAAAAAGTTTAAACAGCCATTTATAAAATAATTTGTGTGAAATATCAATACATTTTTATTAATTTAGTGGTAATATGTCGATGCGAAGCTGAGAAGATATTGATTTTACTATGTTTTTTTACGTTTATTACCATTTTTATTTTACCATTTACATGTGTGATTGACTGCCGTAGTAAAAAAAAGTACTATATTTGAGTTAAAATTATAGATTTCATATTTTACTTTTTCGACTTTAAATTCTTAAAACTTTTTGAAAAATGTACGGATCAATACAATTTTTTTTTATAATTATTTTATATATTCCAACATACTTTTTTTTTAATCGGACCATTTCCCTTTAGTATAAAATTACTTTGAATTTTTAAAAACTTGAAAATTTGTACAAATAGTAGAACTTTTTCGACTTAACTTTTGAAAATGTTCCTGGAATATTGCGTTTTTTAAATATATGTTAGAAAAAAAATTTGCTCTGACGACCTGTTTTCTAAATGCAAGTAGCAGCAGTCAATGTAGAACAAAAAATAGGAGTTTATTTTGTTTTTGGAATAGTGATTAGTGGATAGTGATTTCTATCACTGTCAGATATCATCTATACTAGTCCCAACTATGCCACGTTCACATTGTGCCGCGACCCCACTGTGCTACCGTTATTATCACGACTTTTAGCTTCGATGCGAAGCTGAAAAGGTATTGGTTTTACTAAGATGTGTTTTTTTTTTTTTTTTTTTTTTTTT